TTCTATCTGGCATTGACTAATGTCCACAAGAAAATACTAAGTTCACTGCTGTGTATCGGTGGCAAGGCTCAGCATGACGAGTCAAACCGATACTGTCAGTCACCCAGTCCCAGTCTCCGATTTTTTTCTCCACATGAGTCACTGGATGTCGTTTAGACAGTGAAAAAACACTGCCCACCCTCTGCAAAACTGACATCACAAATCATCATGTTAACCCAAAGTCGATCCCTCAGAGTGTGCACTTTTCACAGCTGCTCCACAGAGACGCACAACACAATCAAAGAGCAGTGACTATTTCAAATTTCATACCAACTGAGTGAACCATAGATTAAATATGCAATATATCCATAGCAGTACAAAAGTCAAAACGCAACCCAGACATTTCATATAATACTGAGCTCACTGCTGCCAGAAAGTTTTAATGACATAACAGGTAGATATACTGTAACTGTCAGATCCCCTGCTGGCAAGGACAAACAGGGAGTATTGAGTGCTTTCAAAGAAGCTGTCACTCACTTTATTGCATTCTTTACAAGTTCGGCAAGACAAAGCTCTGTTTCACACAAAAGGTTGTGCATCTCACAGCTGAAACGAGCACAATCCTAACAACTTTCCAGTCTCACAATGGCTAATTAACACCTTGACAGAGCTATGTGCTCCTTTCTCTGAGAACAAAGGCATTGCTACTGTCGCCTCTCCGTCCTGCCACATTTAGCAAACAGCACCTAGATACTGTCTAACAGGGAGGCTCAGAGGCACAAGTAGGAACACTGGCAGGCAGGTGTGCACGTTCGTGCGTGTGGCACTTGGATGTCTGTTGCCATGGTGACCCCCAGAATATCCCCACACAGCACAATGTGATATTTTTAATAAAGTTTGAGGGCTTTGACTTCACTGTCTGGTGTGGCTGTGAATATGTGAAGTGGAGATGTGAACTTTTTCTTTTTCTCTCTCTCTCTCTCTTTTTTCTTTTGGTCTGCGTGCAGCTTAACTGTGTGTTGTTCACCTGAGACTGTCTAGCAGCTTATGTCAGCAAGCTCACTGTGTATTGATCCACCAAAGTGTAACATGAATGCAAAAAGGAACACTAACTAGTGACCATGACAAGTGTGTGTAGACGTGAACACTTGTGTTTGTGGCTCTGTCTGTGTGTGTGCATGCGCAAATGTGTATATTTACCACAGTATGACTCACAAACCACATCAGAGACTATGCTGCAGAAAACTGAGACAACACAGTTTCAAAGAGGAAGCCAGCACTGATAAAGCTGAGGGAGCAACAGGCGCAACACACACACACACACACACATGCACACACACGTTTACACGCTCATGCACACGCACACGAAAACACGTTGAGCAGTGACTGGAAATCCCCTTTTGTTCACCTGAATGAATTAAACCTGGGAGTATCTGAAACCTGAAATACAAATTTGAAATGTGATCATGACTCTTTCATTCCCCAAAGACTCACCTATTCAAGAACCATACACACATTTCATCTATGGCTGGCAGAGATGACAACATAGCTGACAATGAACTATTAGAAAGTTTCCATATATGAACCCCAGGTATCAATCATTATTCTTCACTAATGTAAGTGGTAAAGTCCTTTTTTTTTTTGAGTTGCACTGAGGTGATTTTTTTCAGGTGTCGTTGAGCTTTAGCTGCCCACAAGTTCTCCTGATGCGGGAGCCAACCTGTAATACACAACCTTCACCAGCAGATGCCAATATTGACTCATGAATGAGGTAAAGGGAGGTGTTGAGATTTATTGTAATGTATCGTACAGTGGATTAGATCCTGTGTGATGACAGGGAAAACCTTTTCTCACAGTTCATCTGAGTTCTTGTCAAACCCCAAGTGTCAGACTGCAAATGGCTGACTTTGGAGTACTTTGAGGTCTTTTCAACACAGGTACAAATTATAATGCAAATGAGTTTATCTAAATAGCCCGTAAAGTCGTGATGCTGGGAGAGTAGATTAAGAGTTCACAGCTGACCACAGCAACAGCGTGAAGCAGAAAAGGCCATTGATCATATCTTATTATCCTCCTCTATCTCTTTTCGTGGTCTGCAATGAGTTTTCCATGACATTAGTGGTTGGACTGGAACGGCCTCTTCCAGCAGAAGTGTGATGTAATTGCCTGTTAGAAGCCTCTTATTAGGGAAGGGGGAGTCAGAACCTGAAGAGTCCATGATGCTAAGTGCCTATTAACCCTGCATATGTGACACCGTTACCGTGCACACCAGTGTGTGCATTTTGTGGAAAAAATGTGTGTGTTTGTTTGTGTTTGAATTCAAACGCATCTTTAACAAAAGGTCACGAAAAGAATCCGATTTGATTGCAAGCAGTAAAGATGTGGCATCATTCTCTTTGTTTAATTCTCCAAATTATATGCAAACAAGTAAAAAAGTCAATCCGCAAATTGCTGTAAGTTTTCTCTGTGCTACAAAGGATTACGGGTGGAAAGAGAGGGACCTTCTGCTGCTATTAATGCATAATTAATGGCATTACTTTCTCGACGTTGTCGAGTTATTAATAAAACGCGATGGGTTTCTCACCTTTTAATTAGCCATCAAGTCTGCAGATGTAAATGTTAAAACGCTTTGCGGAGTCTCTGCTGCATTTCTCCCAGAAGGTAATGGTCAAACTGTCCATTAGACGGGGCCTCCTGATGAAATAAAGAGCTTGCTAAAAAGACAAAGAGATGCTGGTGGGGAATTAATACTAGCTAAATGGATTCTACCACAATCTGGCATCTCCTAGATATTTATGGCTTTTTATTAATCTTCAAATAATGATAAAGTCATTTGTAACCAAACTGAAATCTCAATTATTTTTACATATCAATCAGTTTGCTCATCACGTAGGATACGACTCAGCCAGTGGAGAGATTTGTGTAATGCTGTCGATGGCTCTGCAGGAGCTTTGACAAATCTGAGAAAATAACCCCCCATGATTATCTCTGTTTGGATGTGTAGAATACCAATATTTGATGGAATGCCTGCTTTGCAAACTGTAGGCATTGAGTTTGAAAAAAAATAAGCATTTTTTATTCAGGGATGGTGTGATAGAAATACACTTTCTGGCTCAATTATGTGAAGCATCCAGCATTCTAGCACAGCTAGAAGGCTAAACGGATGGCAGTGTCACTTCAGTCAGTCCAGACAGAAACATCTTAGGAATTCCTAAGTGGACTGACATGAAATTTGTCACAGACATCCACGGCTCTCTGAGGATAAATCCTGCCAACTTTGGAGATGCCGACTTCACCTCTGGCATCACCATGAGGCTTTGGTTTTGACTCAAATCCTTGACTACTGTTCCTTGGATTGCTGTAAAATGTACCACAGACGTTTAATGTCCTTAGAGCTGTGTTACACATATCACACAAACACTCTCACATGAAAGTATTCTATGAGGGTCTCACAGAATGCCTTCGAATCTTATCAACGAAGCGATTATTTCCAAAATGGCCAGCAGTACAGTAATTAAAAGCCTCAAATTAGCAATCGACTTGTTGAAAATAAACAACTCATTACATGTTTGTTGAGAAGCTCATGTCTTTTCAACTGGGAGTCAATTAGGAGATTCAGCATCTTGCAGCTTTTGTTGGCATCGCACTTTATCATACAGCCATGGTTGCAAACTGCAAATACAGAACCTCGGCTTTCTTGCTGCAGCGTTGACATTTCTGGCAACCTTCTGATGAACTGTGATGGCTAATAGCATTCTTGGATGGATAGTTAGCTGGTGTGCAGTAATTTGGGTGGCCCTAAGCATGCAGTCTTTTTCATGCATTTTTGTTCTTTTACTAAATGACACTGAACTAAAAAGGAGTTGAGTACACTTGTATTGTAGCCTGATTGTGTTCTGCTATTCCAGGTTCTCCCCTTAGCTAACACATGAGCAATAAAAGAATAATTCATTTCTAATAAAACAAATCCCACAGGGAGAACCAAGGCAGTGTGACAAATGAGGAAAATGAGCAGTCTGAGCAGACAGCAGCTGAATATCAAAAACAAAGACGGTGAGGCGAGGACTCGCAAAGTGGCAGGTGGTCAGAGTAAAAAAACAACAACATTCAAATATAGAATTTTAGATTGATAAATGATCTTTAGCTCTTCCCTAATAGATCTAACTGTATGCATTTAATGTGTAACGAAACCCACAAGGCATCAGCCAAAGGAACATATTCAGTGTCATTACCAAATCATGCAAAAACCAACTCTCGAGAGGTCCCACTAATATGAAAGTGTAATACGAAATTCCTAGAATGCTCTTTTAATAAGATCATTGAACAGCTTCATAACTAATATCTTCATAAAAGACAGTAAGAGATATGTTTAAAAAAACAAACAAACAAAAAACACTGGAAATAACAGAATGACACAGTTAACGTGACACAGAGTTACATAGCATTACATAACATTACATGACATTACATAAGATTTTACAACATATATTTTACAGCAAGAGTCAGTCACGTAAATTGCTTTTTTTTTTTTTCTCCCCCCCGTTCGGCTTCTCTAGTCACAGTTCACTTCTAAAGCCCACAACAAAAAGGAAAAATAGTTAAATAAATAAATGTAAAGCAAAGCAAAAAGCGCTGAGATGAGAGGAGTTTAATCCTCCCCAATATTATGTAAAAAAAAAAAAAAAAATCTGTTCTCCCTCTTGATCCTGCTGCTGGCCCCCCACCGTCACCAGTTGGTACAGGCCACAATGCTGTATAGCCCCCCTCGACACACAAACACACGCTGTTCTACAACCCTACTGAGGCTGTCTGACAGAGTGAGCAAGCCGGCGTGTGCGTCTGCATGTGTGTGTGTGTGCGCGACACAGAGAGGCAGCCGAGATGAGAGTGTGAAGCAGTGAGAGGGAAAACCTAGAAAAAAAACAGCAAAGGCGATCAGAAAGAAGAGGGGGGGAGGGANAGGGAGGGAAGGGAGGGAAGCAGGGAGTCAGCAAACACAGCAAAAAGGCAGAGCAGAGGAGAAGAAAGAGAAGAGAAGAGAGAGAGATAAAGGGGTGATGTGAATGTTCTATCTCTGAGAGTCCTGCCACGAAAGTCAAGAGATGCAATGACCAGATGACCATCCACTCCACACGCCAGCATCCTGTCCTGGAGCTTTGACAGGAAAGGGGATAAGAAAAGAAAAGAAAAAGAAAACGAATCCACACACTCTCATAGGTAAACACTCTTCAAGCACATCACCGGATCATGTCGTCTACGGGGTCAACCAACCACAACAAGCGTCTGGCATGTAAGTAACCAACAGTGTGTGAGGAATGCAGACAAAGTGGTACAAAGCGGACTCTCAGTGTGCATAACTTTATCAGCCGAGTCGCTCTGCACTGTTCTGTAATTTGACACTAGATGCTCTCATGTTTTGGTCACTTTCAGAGCATATTTTTTTTTAGTTCATCCATGGCAAAGGGAAGTCTTGATGTAAAACTGTACAGCAGTTGTTAATTCCCTACTACTAGAACAGCCTTACATGACTCACAAGTCAGAGCTTCACAGCCAAAGGTTTAACTCCATGTTTCCTTCAGCAGCAGTCACAAGATGACAGATTAACTGTACTTTGCTGTGTTGCATGCAGTATGCATAGTAGGTACGGCATGACTATTATGTAATTTTCCTCTTAGCTGTGCTGCTGAAAACTGTTCCCTTATGATTAATTAAATTAATACTTGCTGCTCTAAATTTACTCATGTTCTGTTGATTCCTTTACTTTCTCATTATCCTTCTGCCTCCCACCCTTATCAGGAACACTTGTTAAAGTCTCATTGTCCAAGGCAATAACAACAACAACAGCCCTGGGTCAACTCTGCTTAGCCTGACAGCCTCGACGGTGCTGCAACACTGTTGATGCAGACAGGGTTTAATCACTGTGAAAGGATAACAACTACTTCTTACCGTCTGACTAACGTAAAGGAGGAAAGTCTTCCTATAGAAACAGTAAAGGCACGCTGACACCAGCCTGCTCTCTAGAGAAACACAGTCTTGCTTTCTAATCAAACAAAGAGCTGTTTTTTAGGTGTCAAGACAATAATCTGCTCTTTCCCCCCCATGCAATTTGCAGCTTTAATGAAACGTTTCTGCGCGAGGCTAAGGTTGAGCTTTAATGTATACAGGCAGAGCACTATATATGAGACTACTGAAAGCCCTGTTTTGATTGGCCTAAATAGGGAGCAGTGTGCATGGCTGGAGGTCATCTTTGTATTTAGCCCTGAGAAGAAGTGCTTTAATGGCTCTGGGAATGGGAATAGCCTGGGAATACAAAATCTGATCAGACACTCACAGAGCATGTGGTCAGACAAGGTTCAAGATCTAATCACAGAACTGGGATCATAAGCACCCAATGGAAGGAAGAGGAAACTAATGAAGCACACTTCAAGATGAAGAGGGTTGGAGAGGGTAAAAGGCATACATTTATATAACGTGGCCATCTAAAACACTCCCCTGCTCTACAGGCTAGCGGTGGTGCTTCCTGCAGTATGGCGTAGCGCGATGGTGGCGCTGGGGGGCTGTAGTAAGAGGCGGGGTGGAATAAATGACCAGTCTTGATTTACTTTCTGCCGTGTGTTTATGGATATGCATGTGGGCAGTGAGGGGAGTGGAGAAGCACGGCGGGGGAGGTGGCTGTTGTGTTGCAGTGATCTCACTCATAAATGATTTATGCCTGATGGACCGCTGTGGCTACAAGGCCAGCAGAACGGAGAGCTCGGCTCGGTAAATAATAGCAGTAATTCCGAAAAATTATGTGGCTGCATGCTGCCGAGAGATGGGTGGCACCGACATCAGACCCGGGGGTGGATTGGGAGATAGAGGAAGAGGGGAGGGTGCAGTTTGAGATGGATGGGCTTGTCAGTTGTAACTGGCCATGCAGCGTAACTGCCTAACCAGCTCTCTCCCTCTCTCTCACACATAACACCCAAAGCCTCTGTTCACTGAGAACTGAAAGATGATCATGGGATTTCTTTCCCCTTGCCACAAGGGAATTGAATTCTACATCATGTGACTTACTGGTTCAGTAGAAGCATTTGTTCCTTGCTTCCAGAGCAATGCTCAGGACTTCTTACGTATGAACATAAACATGAATCAAGAGTTGAATGTTTTCATCATCATAAAAAAATAATAAAAAAATGCTGACAAGGTATCTGCAAAGATGACAACAGAGAGGAAAAAAATGCTGCGGATAAAAAAACCCCACAACTGACAAGACAGTGATGTGCATTTTTTTTTTCTTTTTTAATTTTTCTTTTTTTATGCTTCAGTAGCAATACAAAGACTAGCAGCAGGGATTATCAGGAGCAGAGCAGTGAATGAGACCACAAGATCAGACCATGGAAGAATAAAGGATCATGTGCTTCAGCTCAGCTGTCACCTCTGGCCTCTGAACTCCCAACACATCTGTAACACTGATTCCTGAAGAAGTGCCACTGATCTGATCAACAATGATGAAAAGAAGAGAATGTCTGAGAGAGAAAGAATCTGGATGATTGACAAAAAGAACCAAATGAAAAAGCAAAAAGACAGCCTTTCTTCAACTATCAAAGTCAGTAAAAATGACTTATATGCAGTTTGTTTGCCTTTACACACAACAAATGCACAAAAAATCAATGGCATTCTTGCATCCTTGTATTTGTCAGCATGAGGCTTAGCTGAGGCAGGCAGATGCAGCAAAGCCCTTTACATTTTTGCATCACAGTTGCTTTATACCACGAACAATACACAGCAGACTCAGGTTGCATAATCATGTTCTGCTTTCTTTTGAGAAACTTTCTTTCTTTCTTTCTTTCTTTCTGACTTACTTTCAGCCAATGCATGCATTTACATACGCTACAAACGAGGCGCTTAGCTAAGTCGTGGTGCACTACAATGCAGTAGGAGTCCGGTGTAGGGTGTGCAGCTCAAGGATTGTACCAGCATTATGTAACAGTAAGACCTAAGTAATCATGATACATTGTGGGCTGAGGGAGCATGTATTTCTGGGTGGGGGTGACCATAGGTCCTGTAGCAGATCACAAGATTCATGTAATTTCCAAAAGCGGCTCTGAAAATACTGTAAAGCTTAATTCAGTTATTGACGTGCAACATTTGTCTTTGTGTCTCCACCCAGACCCAATCATCGATCTTATGTTCTTTACAAATACTGGCATAAAGTGAACAAAGGGAGCCACTGTGTTAAGGGAGCTTCATGACAGGCTTTATTAGATGTTCCTTCTTTGACGTTGTCAAGAATGTCAGAACATGTAAACAAGGTTGTCTTTTCCAAAGGCTGATGGCAGCTGAGAAACGAATATTAATCTGGCTGGACATTCACCCATATTTGTCGCTCGTATTAACCTACTTGTTGGAGGTAAACTTTGATATTTACAGCTTCAGATCTATCTATCTATCTATCTATCTATCTATCTATCTATCTATCTATCTATCTATCTATCTATCTAGGGAAACGAATATACTAACTAGTTTACTACCTACCAACCTTCAAGTTAGTCACTTTTTAAATGTATGACTCCTGTTCGCCAGAGGGAATTGTAAAAACACAGCTCAGCTCCAGGGTAATAATCAGTAGAATGAGTCTGACTTGGAAAACACTCTCTGAGCCTCGTATTGCATGCAGCAGTGGCACAAAATGATTAATTCTGGATTTCCAATAATGTTGTTTTCACTGTCCATCAGCAGTTATAACTATGCCATGATGTGCTTTAGCGCTGTGTCAGCAGTAAAAGCTCTCCCCGAAAAAACATCCGTTATGTCAGTGTGGAACCAGCATATTTGGAGCCTGGTACTTCTCCTTTTATCTGCTCCCCTGGTTTTATTTTCTTCTTCATCTTTTATAAGCTATCTCTGTTAATAGCCCGAGGCCAACACTTCCCCAGCATAGCGAAAGTCAGCCATCACAGCTGTAAAGCTTTTCCATGTGACCTGTATTTTGCAGCCCAGATACGGGTAAAAGGAGCAGCCTAGGAACTGAATGGGTTGCCTTGTTTAATACCAGGACTCTTTTATCAGACTTTATGCACAGCGGCCCTTGCGTAGAATCATCTCGAACATCAGCGAACACTGGATTTATAGTGGCAAAAAAAATACTTGACGAGCCGTACAGCCATGCGAGAATCATTTGGGGTTATCAACCCTGGTCAGAAGCAAAGGGATTCCCCTGTTAGGCTATGAACACCATCTGTTTCTCACACAGAGCTTCGTATTATTATAACCTCAGCTGATTTGCATAGTACCCACGACCCGTCTTCCACAACAGGGCGATAGGAAATTCTGAGGTTATCTGGATGAGTCAGTTTTTTACATACGTGTTTTTCTCCCACGCATGAGTCGACTCATGAGGACATGCAGCTGAGCCTGTGTGTGGGTCGCCCATGCTCATGGTCATCGCAACTTGAGTAATGCAATCTGATTTTTAGGTAAATAGACAACGAGAAAGATGGCGAGGGAGTCATAGAGAGAGAGAGAAAGAGAGAGAGAGAGAGAGAGAGAGAGAGAAACCTCCATAAGGCCAAGAGGCAAAACTGGAGTTTACATAAGCTGTGCAGTTGCATCATCATCAAGCCTCGTCATTGCTGTAACAACCTTTAGTAACTGGTTTTGTCTCAAGCTTCCTACTGTTGCCAAATGATGACTCCTGAATGACCATGGACACTGAGAGTTGGCAGTGAGTTGGTAGGGGGTTTTGGCAGGCTCCTGGTCTGTTTAGGGACCCTGCTGCTCATTTAATTCCTCTGTTTGTGGTGCCAAATACAATGCTAAGACTTGCACTGTTCTTCTTGCTGTCTTGTTGGACTAACAGGACATGGCAGATCCATTGTTCTTACTATTTTTCAGGTGTATGTTTAAAATAAAAACGTACAAAAGGGCGACGAGTTAAAAGAAAAAAAAATGTCCGAATACGGTGTTCGGCCATGAGCTTTCATTTTGGTATTTCAATGATGACCTCTAGCTCTGCACAAAAAAAAAAAAAGCAGCCTCTCATTCATTTGAATCAGGCCGATCAAGTAACGCAGAACGTCTCGAACAATAAAGTGATGAATTATCATTCCAGAAGTTGAACTTTTCCCACAGCTTCTGGCAGAGTGCTGCAGTGGCATGTGAAATGCATGCATTCTTTTTGGATTACTTCTTTAATTTCGTGCTTGTTGCATCACCTTGATAACATGAGCATGTGATTGCATGGCACAGCTCACAGGGCAGTTGAGAAAATTACTTTGATGAGGTAATTGGGTATACCATATAGGGCAATATAAGATAAATGGTCAATTATCTACACTTGTATAGTGCATGTTAACCAAGCGCTTTGTAATGTTTTTTTTTTTTATTTACACACACACAGTCCCACATCAGTGTTGTTGGAGCTGCCATGAAAGTTGTTCACCTGCAATCAGGAACAATGTAGGGTTTGGTGTCTTGCCCAGGGACACGTGGAGGTGCCTGAGGGTAGAGCTGCCAACCCTGCAATCAGTGGACAGCCCGCGCTCCCACAGCTGCTACAAAGCAAGAATAGGAGAATCAAAACTTGAGAGAAAATCACTTCAGTCCAAACTGATTGGTCATTTTGCCTCCAGACTTGCATTGAAAAGTGGGAAATTTTAAATATATCATATATGATTCCATACCAGCAGCAACACGAGAAACATCCCAGCATGTTCCGATGTACCTGGTTCATCTAGCTGGATGTAATAGTGACATTCACACTGATTACATTCAAGCGTGGTTTGGTTTATATTTATAACAACATTGTAAGCTTTATGCCATCGATTGTATTCCCACAAACTGCTGGCATACAAGCCAGAAAGACTGTGAACAGCGGCCTGGTTTCCTGCCTCCACAGACAGCTTGAATGACAGAATAAAGGGCTGTCATTAGCAACAGTGGACACACCCCTCCTGGGCAGCTGAAGCGTGACTGACGGATTGACTAGCCGGGTCTCCAGAGATGGAGCCGCTCGAGGAGGGAGCCTGGGTGACACAGTTGTGCTGCAGTGTTTGTTTTCAAACAGCAGAAAAAGCAATTTTCAAAAGGTCTGAATGTAAATGTGCTAAAGTCAATGCTGTTGCTTTGTGTGTTTGGTCCATCTGCTGGAGCCGTTTTCACATGTTAGTCGTGGACACTTGTTCCACACTGGTTGACAAAATGAGCATTAACAAAGTACAATAGATTCACAAGCACACATGGAGTCTGTGAGCATGCTCCCACATACAGATTCATACTTCCACACATACACACCATCCCAAAACACTGGTGACATGAGTCAAAGTGTCAGCTCGTCGAGGCCACGGGGGGAAGAGACACAATGTGTGCTGAGAAGGATGTAGCACAATTACACAACCACAGCCTGTCAGCATGGCAGAGGTCAATGCACGAGGTAGACCTAAGGGCAGATGTTCTGTTAGTTTTCATAATATGTCTGCGTTTTCAGACACTGAAATAAAATAAAAAAAAAACAGTTCTGAAAAAAATAATTACTTCAGAGTAGAATTGTGGCAGGGATTCAAGCAAATATTTAGTTGATCACGCAGCTAGTGTGTACGTATTAAAATGTTCTTTTGTGCAAAATGGATTTTCAAACTGCATGTGAGCCTGATCATGAACACTAGAGGTCAGACTAATATCATGAGAACAAGAGCAGTCACAGAAAGCCTGCCACAGAGGAACATGGAAAAATATATGTACAGGAAGGAGAAGAGTTATTAAAAAAAAACAAAAAACAAGAAGAAGAAATATTAGGATTAAAACTAAGTGACAGCAGGTTATTAAAACAAGTATGACAATTTATTCTATGAGAGATTCTACCATACAGCTTATCTGCTGGTACAAAGTGGTGCAATGACTTTTAAAGTGTTACACTGACTGGCATTTATTTTAAAAACTGAGTTGCTAATTTCTATCTTGACATTTAAACAACTTCAGGTTTCTGTTAGAAGCTAGACCATCTTTGCCTCAATTAACCCATTAACATCCATGTTTGTTAAAACATAACATTTCATTTTTTTCTGTTCCCTTGCAGCCTTTACTGACTGTAAACAGTTGCATTCTGGTTGGGCATGAACCACAAATTATGCATATGGTGCTCTGTGTCTTTCTCTCTGTGAACACTGCAACCAAATGTTTCTTCTACAACAAGAGAATAGCACTTAACAATTAAGTGAAAGCTCCTCAGGTTAACCATAGTAACACCGAACATTCTTATTCCATCATCTGTTGAGAAAAAAAAGCCATTCTTTTGAAATGGAAGAGACCACATATAATGAAACACATACAGGTTTCAAAACAGGTGAAATTAATGTTCTCATGTGCTTTTCATGTGCGTCTTGTTTTGTTGGTCAGCTGAAACAGACAACTCTCAAAAGGTGCGAGACAAAGAGTCGGCTCAGCACCTGAAGCTGAAGGACAGACAGCGGTTTTTCGAAGAGGTCTACCAGCATGACTTGGACAATTACTTACCTTCCGCCCACTTGCAGATCGACTGCAGGAAACGTGAGTCTGCCTCTCAGGGGGCCTGAATATCTCACAGTTTTTCATGAGTAATAAAAATGTGAAATATTGCAAATATTCAGCTACTGGCTGATGATTAACTGTTTTACATCTGCTTGCTCTGAAAAACAGATGAAGCTGGCGCCATATTCCACTTTCATAATCAGTCTTCATGCTCAGTGTCCTGTTATAGATATACTGTCAACATTCAAACAATTTGTGCAGTTTTTGACATCAACAGTGTGTATTTACAGGTGTGCTCTATATGCTGTTTTGCTGCAGCCCCCATGGGTAGTATCTCATCTATGGAGGTGAACGTGGACGTTCTGGAGCAGATGGACTTGATGGACGTATCGGATCAGGAAGCGCTTGACGTGTTTCTCAACTCGGGTTCGGGAGCAGACGAGGGAGCGCTGACGTCTCCTCTGCCAGGTTTGCCTCCATAATACGATCAAGCGCCATGTTAACCCAACCACCTTGTTGTTCTTCAGGACAGAAATTTGCAAATTGCAGTGTGCCGTGTTATGCGCCAGGCGGCCTTTAAATGTCTGCCGCTGTCAGGCGTCTACAGCTGTCTGTTAGGCGGATTTCCATTTAAGATCCTCCCTCTCACACACACACACACACAGCTCACTGGCCTTGACAGAACCTCAGGTTGTACAATTTGTACAAATTAGAGTTTTTTCAGGGTCGACGCAACCCGGCATGCTTGGATTTAAGATGACAGGTAGACGTGAATGAGGGCAGCAGACTTTCAGAACACCACCCACTGCGTGTCACTTATTAAACAGCGCATTGAAATGATTTAACCTGCAAACCTATTGCTCTAAATCTCTTCCTATGATCTACCTTTACATGCAGATTTTCTTTAAGGCACAAAACCGACTGTGGGCTTGGTACTACAAACCCAGAATGTCAAGTTTTAGGATATTCTGGTAACATTATCATAATCTGGATAAAGACTGGATGCTTTTCGTCATTATTGTGGCCCTCTACAGGATAAAATAGCTCAAGGATGGATTTAGAACAACTTGTTTTGACCTGATGCAGCCTCTAAAAAAAAAGACAGGGTTGTACATGTTGTCACTGGACAGCATGCACACACTTGTGTATAAAATCTGCTCCAGAATCAGAAGCACAGCTGTTTTGCATTAACTCAGTGTCTTTGACAATGTTATGGGATAAATCTAGTTTAAAAAAACAAAACACTGTAAGCTCTGTATGGCATTTATCAAAGTGATCGAACTCACTTGTTGAAACTTGTCTGAATGATCCCTTTTAACTGCCTTGCCGGGAATATCTCATAACAAGTCAGGACAACGGTGTGTAGGCAATTTGCATATGTAGTTTTGGTGACTCAGATGTGAAAATTAAAGATTTTCTCTGATTAGCGCCGACACAACAGGTACCATCAAGTTCTAATAGCTTCTAATTGCAGAGGGTGAGGACGAGGACGAAGATGAGGAGGATGAAGATGCAGAGGTTGTGTACAGGGAGCGTGCACCTTTGAAACGGCAAAATGAAGTTTACCGAGGCTCACAGTCCCGCAACTCGTCTACGTCGTCTGGTTCCAGTGACACCAGCGCGGGCGGAGCCGACACACCCGTGATCCAGTCGGATGACGAGGAGGTTCACGCTGACACTCTGCTGCTGACCTCTGTTCCCCAAACTAGGGATGAAGAAACAGAAGAGGAAGATGAGGAGGAGAGATGCCTTCCAACCAATCATAACAAAGACTGACTTTTATTGCCTATAGAGCCTGGAACCTCTCTCTCTCTCTCTGTCTATCTGTCTGTCTTCACATTCCTTTCATGCCTCTTTAAATGGGCTGAAACCCCAGCATGGTTCACCTGGCTGTGATATGCTGTGTCTTTTCAGTGTGTTCATGGATATTTTCTTTACAGTCAACCGTGCAACAGTTTTTATTTTTCCCACGGTGTTTCTGAAATTGTTTGTTGAGATTCTCTACAGAGGTCTCATGAGACATAAATGCAAATTATGCAAGTCATTCCTCTCTCGTGCGCTAACATGTTCTAACTGACATGGTACAGTTATCACCTCAAGAGTTACTCTTTTTACTGCCGGACAGAAACCTCCCTCCTGTCCAGTTTTTGTCTTGAAAGCAAAGGTTCGTTCTTCACAGCCACGGAAAGAACAAAAAATGGAAGGAAGTCGTTTTCACTGTACAAAGTGAACAAATTCAAAGCAACTGTAAAGAACTGAAGATTTCTTACTTTGACTACACTATACCTCAGTTCTTGAGTATCTTGGATTTTCCTCATCATCTTTACTGGCCTTTATATTACAGTTCACAGCATAAAAGAGATACCAGGCCTCCTCATGAAACCTCCTCAAGGGTGTGGGTCACGTCAAACTGTAGTCTATTGTTCTGGGATTTCTTTTGTCTGCAGTTTTTAAATGCCTTTGTGGCGTACATTTAAAACACTAAAGCTTCAAACGGACAGCTTTTAGCTTCGAGGCTAATCTGACAGTTTCAAAATGCAACGATGGCACACCTTTTCCTTTCAAAAGATCATTATGTTGCATAAATGAGTCCTGGAGAGCAAATCCCCCCCCAACCCCAAAACCTTTCTTTCATTTCTTTTTTTTTATAAAACTATCGCTGTGTGCATGCAGAAACTGTTTACAGCATCATGAATTGGAACTGTATTTGTAAATGCATGCCATTTTGTTCTTGTCAGTGACTATGTAATGTTATTGCAACCAGTGCCGCGATGCAAACCTGTAACTAATATGAACATGCTCTTCCATGTGAGTCTAAACTCGAGCGCTGGATGTTTTCTGGTCACGTGTAGAACGAGACAACTCAGCTGACAGGTTTGTATCTTTATGTAACATGTGCTTTCCGTTTGTGGTGTTGTGCGTGAGGGTGTGGATGCTCAACACCACAGGTATTCCCGCAGTCGGTCCAACGTTTTTACTTGGTTAATCATGATGTGTAATTCTTAGATCTTCCTATGAAGACAAAATAAATCAATCAATAAAGCAGAGGGATAAGCTGCCGAATGTGCCCTGCATTTGCTTGAGTTGCCTTTTCCACACTGGCTTTTGGTTTCTCTTTCAGTGTTTTCATACTGCAGCATTCTGTGGTGGTCTCGCTGCCTTTGTAAAGTCTGAACTTGCCCCTTTAGATCTCACTAATGGCAAGCTTGTTCTATAGATCACAGATAAGGAGTGGTTTATAAAGCTCAAAATTGCCTTCACTTGTAGGACAGCCTGCAAATGAAGGGGATTATCTCCCCACATGGAAAATTTGAATGTAAAATCACATGCATGTATTGTACCGGCACATAAACACTGCTGTTGAGCTGTGCACTGAGCTTTCCAGTTCTGCTAGTTTTACTAGTTTGCCGTTCACCTACCCTCAGTTGTTTTCAACGGCGCTTTGCTATACGCCATTGTGGCCTGTGGCTGAATTGTTTGCCCTCTATCATACCAAGGATGGGTGTTACTTTTATTGCCTGTGCTGCACCGAAAGCTATGATAAACTTCCTCGTGGTTTGTTTTTTTTAGCACAAACTACAATCTCTGATCATGGTGTGGGCTGAAACTTTTGACTCATAGTCCACCTGGAATGTCCTTCAGGTTCTAAGTAATCTCAAGATCAGACAGCTGACAGCAGTGGGTCGTGTCAATCATACGCTGCCTCCATTTAAATGACATGTTGTTTTTGGTTACGCTACCTCACTGTTCTTTCTGGATGTTGACTTCTAAAGTTTGCCAAATTTAGGATTATTCTGGCCCCATTCAACCTGTTTTTAGGCTTTAGACCGCTCAAACTCAGGTGGACTTTCACCCACAGAGCAATGTGTAGATACAATATTTATATTTGGAGGCTAGTGGATAATTTTTCTTTTTTTCTTGAAAGAGCAGTATAAAAAATTAACTCAGGTTTCCATGCTGTCTGCCATCTATTCGGTTCGAGAAGAAGAAACCACAATACTGAAGCCTTGAGGTGTTCTCCACCTATGTAATATGCATGTAGCAGCGTGTTTGTTTGTAATATTTCTTATTAGCTCTTGCCAATTTATTACACTGACACTTTGCTGTGACTGAATTTAACTGTGGGCCAAGTCAGGTCTCATGTTAACCGGCCTGGAGCAAAACTGATTTGGGAGACAGCTTTTAAAGCATGCGTTGTGTTCAGCACTGCTGCACAGAGTACAGGTTTGGTGGCAGAGGTTTTGCTCCACAGATTAAATACAATTATAAGTATATGCACAGAATTTACAAATGCAAACCTGTGATGTAATTGGAATGGAAAATATCTAGCATTGTGCAAGTTGTTGTTAGAGCTGCTCACTCCTCGCACAAATTGCTATTGACACTCCCAACACTCACGTGGATGTATTAAATCACAGTTGCCTCAGTCACCTCTATCTATCTATCTATCTATCTATCTATCTATCTATCTATCTATCTATCTATCTATCTATCTATCTATCTATCTATCTATCTATCTATCTATCTNTATCTATCTATCTATCTATCTATCTATCTATCTATCTATCTATCTATCTATCTATCTATCTATCTATCTATCTATCTATCTATCTATCTATCTATCTAGTGGTTCTCGTCTTTGCGTTTTTCAACCTTGAAAATTTCAATTTGAGATATATAGACTGAAAAAGCCACAACATATGATTGCATTGTAACTTTACCAGATAGTGGCCTGATTTTGCCTAACTTGTAACTCTTAGCAGCTGAGTGAAATTGCTGGTCAGAAAGTAGCATTTTCATGACTATAATTCAATGTTTAAAAGCAATAAAAAGAGGAAAACTTCTTTTGTTTGCTTTTCAATATACAATGAGTAAATAGCTCTTATAGGCACTGCCCTGTTTTTCTATCAAAAACTTATGGAGATTTAGAATCAGATCAGAGAATATGAATTTTGTGAATTTTATGTTCACTGGATTTCTGATAGCTTAGTGATTGTAAATCAAATCATTTTGGGAATATGTTATTGTTTTAGGAAACTGTGATTTTGAAATGATACATTGACTGTAGCAATGTCAAAACCAGTGCAGTTGGCAGTTACACCAGTTAAGCCGATGAAGACCAGTCAAAGTCACGGTTGTATTATTTATTCATCAGTGCATGTTGGGTGTATCCCATGAGCCAAGAAAATTGCTTGTGTTTGTGATGCAAGGTGGGTTTGATCCCCAACACAATGTTGTGCGAAAATGAGCACCGAACTGCACTGTGCCGCTGAATCAGTAAACCCACAGTCTTTGCTATGCATCTTTTTCCACAATGGCACAGTTTTAAAACTGTATGACTTTGCATCTGCAGAAAAACAGATCCTTTACCTTTGACAGCATTATTGTGCCGACCAACTTTTCTTTCTTGTACCCTCTAAACTACCTTTGACTCCAATATTGTCGTTGAAAATCTTCGTAATCCTGGTTCATTGTCTCAACACTCAGTTTCTTGAGAGTCTGGTCAGGCTGTGTAAGCAAAGCGACTAAAGACCAGAGTGATCAATCAAGAATTCCTAAGCCAGTGTCAACATTATTTCCAGTTTTACGTCTTTGCCGCCCCTTTTCTTTTCTCTCAACTCCTACAGTACCTACACTGGAACAGTTTGAGGTCATCAAAGGTGATATTGAGGCTGTAACCTAAGAAAAAAAAAACCAATAAACTTGAAAGTGCTAAAAAAAACTGTGCAACTTTTCAGAAGTTTGAGAAAAAAAAAAAAAAGCTCCAGTATTTTAGCTCCAGCACTGAACATTTCCTCAGTCACTCCCTCTACACAATCGCCTTTGTTGGATGGTGTAACATTAAATCAACGTTATCATCACGAGAACCTTGTGTGACTATTTAAGATAAGGAGAGCAGAATCGACTTTGGGCCACCTCGAAGTAGGTCAATGTGAAAACAGCCAGAAAACACAAGTGTGAACAAAGTGAATGTAATTATCAAGGACGAACAATTGCTTTAACAAAAAACCTTTATCCTCAGTCCAAACAGTTAGAGCCATCATTGCGTGACATTAAAAATTACACCAACATGACCCGAGGCTAAGCCAAAAGGGCGGAGCGCTCCTGTTCATTTTCCTGCCAAGAGTTTTACAGCGTTATCTGTAAAATGGTGAGAACTCCCTGCAGCCTTTCATAGGATGTAAAGAGGAGAGAAGGTTTCTATACATCTCGGTTTAACTCGGTTAAAAGAAACCAAATATCAATATCAAATGATCAGTAAAGGACACGAGTATGGTCATACAGAATTAGTTTGCAATGTCTGACTGCTTTACCAGATAAGTTCAACCGTTCTCTGAGAGTTTTGTGATCAGCAACATACAGAAATGTTTTAGTCTTTAGTCACGCTGTTCCAAATAAAAAGTTTGTCACGCTGGTTGGGTGTGATAAAAAGAAAAGATGTAATTGCCTTCCTATTAAAAACGCATTCTTCAGTGGGTGGATAATTGGCAGCATTTTTCTTTGGCTCTTTTTGTTTAACTTTGGTGTTTTTTACAAGATTCAAAGTTCATTGTACAAACAGGAGATCTTTCTTGGCAACAGAAATCACGAGACAGGTGGACAGGGTGAGTTTATTGTACAGGGAGGTCAGCATTGAAGCCTAATATGTAAGAGAGACCCTCACAGTCCCGTTTCCCCTCCCTCAGTATTTTGCTCCCTTGACTTTCTGAGAACAAAGATAATAAGCCGTCGTTTCATCAGGGCGTATTTAACAGACAGGAAAATGGCTCACAGTAGATCTACAGCATTTCTTGTGTCTCTCCTGTGTTTCTCGAACTGTCCAGGTTAATTTATCAACTGATTGACTGCCTTTTTGACCCAAGGGAGGGATTAGAAGCAAAAGGTCAGATGTCAGTAATCTCCTAATAAAAAGAAACAGAGAAAAGACTTTTGTGAATGGGAAAAATATTCCTCTGAGCGATCACGGTCATTAGTCACAATCTTAACAGTTTACTTATAATCCTGACTAATTATGATTGTTTTGTGCAGTTTGATCCTTTAAGCGCTGGGTATTTTAAGTGATGTTTCATTGAGGAAAAGAAAAACACAATTGCAGAACCTGACGGCGTCAATACGCAGCATTGGTATGGAAGCACGTACATGGAAAAGGAGGGAATGTTTGTGACTGACAGCTGAGCAGAGCCTGAGAGTGACGTATGCAGGAGCAGTGGGTTTAAAATGTGATTTCAGCTTACAGGACCCATGAATTTGAGCTCCATGGTGTAGGCCAGGCATGAATAAAACATAGTAACCTGAGCTAAGGGGCTGGAGAGATGTACACCTGAGCCGAGCCATGCTTCCAAGCACACAGTGAAAGCTAACATTATCGTAACACTCTTTTAAAGCACGTATATGTATATATACATACATATATATCAAAGTATGGGGAAGTATTCATAAAGCAACAACTTGTAAAAGCACAAAATAATATTTAAAATATCACATTGCACATAATTGTGCACATGAACAAGCAGTCCTTTGTTAACTGAAACTCAGGTCATTTGCTGCCTCCAGGCATTGTGGGCTTGTCTTGTCTGCGCTGTTACTCAAACTGCCTTTTACTCTCTCGGAGCAGTTCGACAGAGGATATCAAGCTGTGTGGACCAAGATGAGGATAATTTGCTTGCTTTTTTTGGTAGGTGCAAAATTTTAAATGACCTCTTATGAAGGAATTCCTTCCTGTTTAAACAAGCAAACTTTTTTACACATGGAAAATGCACATCGTAGCGACTCTTATCTGCGTGGAATATTTGTTGAGAGACTTGCATTGCTTGTGATTACTTGCAAACTCAGAGAGAATGGTGTCGAACCTGAGCATGCATAGAACATATAGCTTCTATTTATTGCTGACTGTTTAAAAGACCATTGGGAAACATGGGGAGGGGGGTGAAGGATCAGGAAAAGCCAGTTCTATGCAGTAGGATATGTAAATACAGGTTGCGAACTAAGAACTTTACAGTATAGTGTACTTATTACATTGAAGAGTTCATTTGCACGAACAGATAACTCCATTTTTGTAGATTTTCAGAATATTTTTTTGTTGTTTGCTTGAGATAATATCAAATAATCAAACTGAAGTTGAGTGGATTTGATATTGTCTCAGGTCGATGATGGAAAAGTGGGTTTTCTGAAAATCTACAAAAATGGAGTTATCTGTTCGTGCAAATGAACTCTTCAAATATATATCTTGTTAGCAGTTACTGGTTTAGGTTGTGTTATAATACTTGTGTCTTCATTTCATTGACTTAGCTGCAGCTTGAGAACATCAAATGCTGTGATGTTTTTTTTGTTGTTTGTTGGGATGAAATGCGAATCATTATCTATCTATCTATCTATCTATCTATCTATCTATCTATCTATCTATCTATCTATCTATCTATCTATCTATCTATCTATCTATCTATCTAGTCAATTGACAAGTCACTGTTTCTTAGAGTTTGATCAGTCATAAGGATTATTAGTGTGGTTGTGAGGATCCAGCTTTGCAGCATCCTGTTGTAACTCAGTTAACTTCAGAATGGTGAAATAACGTCTATCGCAGTGATTTTTAAAAAAGCATTCTCTTATCCACAATGTACACCGTGTACTCAACTACCATATGTCAATCAGATGGCTTGGGGCACGGTGGTGGCTTGGAAATTAGGATGGCAGTCATAGACTTTAACGTCCCTGTTTGTCTCTGATTGGGGACTTGTAAGTCTTTCTCAGTCTTACTATCCTTATTCTCCACTGCCTGTTATGACAAAACTGTAAAATTTCTAATAATAAATGTAAAACACCTTATAACTCAAACTAACTTACTAACATTATTAGGCACTTTTGACCAGAGGCAATGAGGGATTTAGGAAGGCTGTAGGTTAAAGTAAAAAATAAAATAAAATATAAAGCTTCCTGCATTATCCTCCTCGGAAGAACCTGTTCAATACAAGGGCACTTTAAAATATTCTCGCAAACAAGAGGCGTAACTCCCATGTTGGGACACACATGTACACTGTATAGCTTTATAGCACTGTCTACAAAAACTCAAATATTTAGAGCAATTAAAAGTGAGTGAAAGCTTCTGAGCTGGCTGCTGTTTCTCCAGGACAATATTTTCATCCGCATACACAGGAAGCAGAAGCAGCCAAATGTGGATTTGAACTGTTGTTCCATGAACCTCAGTCACCCGACCTGACACCAACTGACTTCCATCTGTTTCCCTCGTTCCGTGAAGCGATCGTGAGGCTTGAACATGGGTGGACCAAGTGCATCAGAGTTAAAGTCTATGTTACAACCTAATGCAAGAACAATCTTTCCTGCGATGTTTTCTGGTCGAGAAATTCTCTCGTATGCAGTGATCCTAAAGCTCCGCGCCGGCCTGGAAATTAAGACGTCACCTGCATCTCATTCTGCCCCGTACATGTTATGCACGCTCCCCTCCAAATACAAATCTAAAACACCCACCATACATCATCAAAAATATGGAACTGTGGTGCCCTGGCTTCCTTTACCAGCCTAAACATGTGCAGGTTAAATGAAGCGAAAGTTGGCCAAATGTGTAAAAGTGTTTCAATGTACGATGGTTTGGCTCTGCGGTAGGAGGGTGAACTGACAGTTTATGTGATTAATTTCTACTTTAATGCACACTGGAAGATTCCAGAAACCCTGCATTTAATGGAAACTGATACACATGGAGGTACATTAACATTTGTTATCGCAGGAGCATCATACAGGAAAGTCTGAGATGGACAGCAAAAATAATCTTGTGGAAAAAAAAGAAAAAGAAAAGAAGAACTCCGTAATGTTCAACAACTGTAAAAGGGGAAAAATTAAAAATGACAGCAAATAATTGTAAAATAATGACTCTTATAAGCAGATTTAATTGTAATTCAACAGCATAATTTTACAATCACACATTGTGATAAAAACTAATTACTTTTTGTAAAAATTTAGATTTTTAAATGCACAGTTTTGTCCCGTTTTTCTGTGATTTTACTAGATATTATCTGAATTTTTTTCTGAAAACTGTTTTAAATATTTACAGTTTTAAAAAAAAACCTTAATACACTTTTTTCTTTCTTTCAAATGACAACAAATAACTGTGAAATAATTATATTTTGTTGCTTATTTAAATAGAGTATAAAATAGTTTAATGCTATGGTCAAACAGAGTAAAAGACTGAATTATCATTTTTAAAAATACAGATTTTTGATGTAGACGTTATTTCCAGTGGTTTGCACGTGAATGAATTCCCTTATTCTGTGACTTTACCAGTTACAATCTGCAGTTTTAAAACACTGGGAAAATTGGTGGGGAAAAAAAAAAAGTTGAAGAAAACTTAAAGTTAAAAAATTGCTTTTTTATAATAATGTACAAACATTGAGACAGAGCGATAATAATTTAACACCAGAGGAAAATGAGCAGTGAATGCATGTAAAATGGATAAATGTATCAGATATGTTGGAGTTATGTTGAATTAAAAGGATTTTAAATGTTCTCTGTGATAACATGGATGAGTTTAATGTTTCATTTTCTTTTTTACATGGCCCACAGGTTGCCTTCACAGCCCTGGGAGAGGCTCAGGCTCAGAAGCACAACAGACTTGCTAAACGGGTAAATGTTTTAAGTGTGGAATAACAAACTCCTGCTTCAATGTTTACCTTCTCACGGATAATAATTGCCTGTTCGAATTACATTTTGGCCTCACCAGGAGCTCTTGTTGCGTTCCAAAAGACGATGGGTCTTGTCTACGATTGAACTAGAGGAAGAAAAACAAGGAAAATACCCAATGGAAATTTCACGGGTGAGGAAGCCATTTTGTAAATTAAGTCAGCAACAAATGGAGCACCTGAGTATTCTGGCCTGACGAAATGTGCAAAAAACAAAGTTTTCAGTCGTGTGTGTCTCTTGACTAGATGTTTAATGACAAAACTGAGGGGAAAAACTACAAGTTCAAAATAAGCGGAGAAGGTGTGGATACTGGTATTTTCACCATTAACGAAACATCAGGAGTCGTCTTTGCACACAGGCCCGTCGACAGAGAGACAAAAAAAGCATACCATGTGAGTTATTAGTGAAATACCAGCCAGGCTGGACATTAACTAGACTTGATATTGATTTTTAACCAATGCAAAATGATTTACATATGTACTTTTATCCACAGATCAAGTTTGATGTCTTGGATAAAGTGACTAATGAGCAAATAGACAAGGAGCTGTCTTTTGATATCGAAGTAAAGGATATAAATGACAACCCACCAATATTTTTCCATCCCAAAATAGTAGCCAAGGAGTATGAAAATAAGAAAGAAGGTGAGTAGACAACTTGGTAAATGACTCATACAGCATGCACATTTGCTAGCTGCAGTCATGGGACATCAAACATCAAAGAAATAAAACTAATTAACAATGACATTGATGCTGCAAGGCTAATATAGAGTTTTCATCAAGTCTAAAGGGTGACACGTAGGTGGATAAATAATCACATCAATCCCGGGTTTCATCTTTAATCTTGTCTTGTACAATCACACCTTGCACATCTGCCATTCCTGACCTCCTCCTTTTTTTATGACACATTTTTTCTCCTTGGTTTCCTTTCCTCAACTTCTTAAAGGGTACTTGTCAGTGCAGCTGCAGGCCATGGACGGAGATCAGAAACAAACGGACAACTCAAGATTCAATATCACCGTGGTTTCGCAGAATCCAAAAGAGCCCAAGATTGATGCCTATCAACTCGATGAAAGAATGGCTCAGCTTACCCTTAAAGGATGCTTTAACTACGATGTGAGACTCAGTGACCTACAGTATTGTAATCAGCAAACTGTTGCTTGTACACGAACATGGACAAATGTGCTGGTCTTGCGTCTCAAATGTTATCTTTTACATATGTTTCAGAAAGCAAGGAGGTATGACGTTGTTGTTCAAGCAACAGATCATGGAACTCCAAGCCTTTCCTCCACTGCGCTGGTCACCATCCATATCATTGACAGTAACACTCATCAGCCGACGTTCAAGGAGACCGAGGTAGGGTTTATTATAATTGTTAAAGTTGCTTTTGATAGTAATACATTATGTTCAATTTCTAACTTTTCTGTTTTTCTAGTACCACGCTCAGGAAAATGAAATGGTCTTAAAAGAGGATTTCATGAGAGTTGGAGTGGACGACAAAGACACTCCCAAAACTGATGGCTGGCGAGCCAAGTATTTCTTCATTAAAGGAAATGAGGAGAACATCTTTGACATTAAAACTGACCCTGACACAAATGAGGGTATCGTGAGCATAATCAAGGTAATTCATCTCACCCCACTCTGCTAGAAATGTAATTTACTCACTGTGGGCCAAGCTAAAAGTCCTATCATCTTACATCAGAAACATTAGTTGCACTTGCACCAACCTAAACTTGTGTGTTTTGTTATTTTTCCAGGAGAAGAATTATCTTCAGACGACTACCCTCAACCTGCAAATTGGAGTAGAGAACATTGAACCGTTGTTTGTTTGTCACGCTCAATCTGGCGACGACAAACCCACACCTCCTCCTCCACCTCCAAAGTCAGTCAACCTCTCAGTGAGAATGATTGATGCCAATGATCCGCCAGAGTTTTCAAGAACTACAGCTAATGTGTATCAGAAGGAAGAAGAAATGCCAGGAAAGTTGCTTTTCACTCCAGATGTTAAAGACATAGATTCTGGAAGCTTCAGGTAGGGTCTCTAAACTCTATACGTACACATTGTAAATACAGTTCAGATCATATTACAATATGTCAGAAGAAAAATAATATTATTGTGTGATATTTTGCTTGACGACAGTGCTTGTGCTATATTCACTCCAGTAAATGTCATTTTCTCTCACAATTCAACAACAATATCACAATTTCTCAGGCTTTTTGTGGGAAATTCATACATTTTCAAGTGTGGCACAAGTGTTCAAATACATTTTTGGGGACACTCTACTATGTTTGCAGTAGGATACTAATCATTGCACAAGTTCCACGAGCACCAACCGAAATTTTAAGCATTTGGTGCATGTGTGAATACATATGTGATTAATTATTAAACTAATTACTGAATGTCTTTTGCTGGCTGTTCAACACATTTCCAAACCCTAGTTCAGCTTAAAATTCACAGGATGATGCCAGACTGTGATCGATGACAGATTCTGGAAAGTCTAGCTTGTTACTCATTAATATTAGAGAAGAGAGCATTGCAAACTTTCATCAGCTGGTGACAAAGTCCCAATGTAGATTCCTTTTTAAATCATTTATTTATTGATTTTGTACAAAAAAAGCTTTAGTGAACACATGACTCTTAATTTCGGAGGCATCATGAGACACTGTGCTAGATAACACATAGGTTTTGCTTTGCATTATATTACATTTCATCAGTAATATGTGCATCAGTTCAGATGCTAATCGTGTAGTGCAGGGGTCTCGAACTCCGGTCCTCGAGGGCCGCAATCCTGCAAGTTTTAGATGTTTCCTTCTTCCAACACACCTGATTCAAATGATCAGCTCATCATCAAGCTCTGCAGAAGCCTGATAACGATCCTGATCATTTGAATCAGGTGTGTTGGAAGAAGGAAACATCTAAAACTTGCAGGATTGCGGCCCTCGAGGACCAGAGTTCAAGACCCCTGGTGTAGTGCAATGGTATTGGCTACCAAAAAACAAAAACCCAATACTGATTTATTTGCAAAACTATATTACTGCAGACTATATAAAAAAGATGGACACAGCTGCCAAGTCTGAAAAGTGAAGTCAATGCCAAAGTGGCTTAAAGCTGCATTCTTTCCAATGACCAGCAGATGGCGACTCCTCTGTTTGTAAAAAATATGATAGAAATCTGTAGGAAAGTGACCCTTCTTCTCCACTGATTTGTTACCTCAGTAAACATTTTACTGATAAACTTATGATCTCAATTCCTAGTTTCAAGTCTCCTTTAAAACAGCATGATGTTCATTTTATATACTATAGTCCCATGTAGAGTAAATTAGATGAAACTTTATGGTTGGATTACCTTGTGATTGACACGCATCTCATCAGCGTGCCCAGTGAAGTCAGAGCGATGTGAAAGCAGCTATATCCACCTTTATTATTTTAGAAATGTATACAGTTTTTGACCCTAACTGTGAACATAACTGCTTATGATAACCTTGCATACTGTATTCAACTTATAGTGTCGCACTTCACATTGTGCCTGTTGTTTTGTGCATATACCCTTTCTCAGTTAGTCTTGAGCCTCACATGGTCTTCAGTTGGACATGACCAAATGGGAATAAAGTCCATTTGAATGTAAAACTAAAATTCAGCATTTTTATATTCTCCTCCATTCTCTGATTTCTCCCACTGTGACCAGGTACGTGCTTGTAGACGATCCAGCTGACTGGGTATCCCTCGACCCGAAAACAGGAAAACTCACAGCGACGAAGAAGATGGACAGAGAGTCACCCTTTGTTGACAAAGATAATATTTACAAAGTTGTCATGGCAGCCGTAGATGATGGTATGAAGGAGCTCTCTATTGTTTACAAAAGCAGACTGGATAATTGGAAATTAAATGCTTTGATTAATAAATGACAGGATCCTTTGCTGTGCTTTCCAAGGTGAACCTCCAGCCACAGGTACATGCACTGTCAAGATCCACCTGAGGGATATCAATGACAACACACCAAAGCTGACCAACAATAGCCTCATTATGTGTGGAAACAAAGTTAACAAGGTCACAGTGCCTGCCAGGGACTCGGATCAACCTCCTTACAGTGGACCGTTTGCCTTCTCCCTGGGGGGCGATGAATCTCTGAAGCAGCAATGGAAACTAGACCCTAACTTTGGTTAGTGCGCACCTGTAAATCCTCATTACTAAAACCACACTTTGCAGTCCAAGAAGAGTAATACACACCTCTCTTTACATCCGATACCAGGTATGGAAGGTGGCCTTGTCAGCGTGAAGTCGCTTCCTTACGGTAACTACTCGGTGCCCTTCATGATCTACGACCAGCAGAACGTAGTTGGAAAAGATACCCTGGAAGTAACGGTGTGCGACTGTGAAGATGGTGATGTTTGTCGTGACAAAATGGCAGTCTCATCCAATTTCGGAGACGCCGGCATCGGACTGCTTATTGCCGGATTGCTTTTATTCTTGTGTGAGTTTGGGAATCTGAACACACGTGCAACCTGAACACAAAACAAACAGCTTAATTACAGGTTTTTAGAATTTTTAGATTGTCTTTATAAATATCTTTGTTTCTGAAAGTTAAACAAAATTTGTGGATTGATGCTAGTATGTGGATGTTAAAAACCCCTTCTGGGGAATATCGAGTTTTTTTTAATTAACCCAGTTTAACATGTCCATATGGTGTTTTTTTATGTGGCAAAGGACACATAGTGGGTGAAATAAAGACTAAACATCATGTCTGTACAACCTTGAAACTACAACGTTTTGATAACAGATCTTAAAACACTGATATATACAGTTATGTTTTCATAAGAAACAAACCCAAGGAACCAATCCCTTTAACTTTTAAGCTTTCATTATGATTATTCATCTTAAGGATTAGTTTGTAATTCAAACATGAAGCGCTGAATGTTACAACTTACTATTGTGTAGCATGGAATAGATTTGTAGGGGATTTAGGAGCTCAATCAATCACTGAAGATGGACTTTAAACATATGGTAACTTACTTTTTTGTTAATAAGCATCTAACTACACTCCTGAATATAATCTATGATTGCAAAACATTCTTTTTTAAACTTTTCAAACACTTCAGGGACCAGCTTACAGGCAGCTCAATGGTGGAAATGAGGGAAGAGCAAAAGCTGCTCTGTTGCTTTCCCACCTAGCTTTGTTTCACTTCTTAGAGGGCCTTTTCTAATTTGGGGAAATAGCCAATTATATGTCAGTTACATCACTTATCGTGTTTTTTTTCTTTTTTTAACGTGTGTCGACAGTACTGTTACTCATCTTCATGTGCGAGTGTGGAAAGAAGACATTTGAGTACATGGAACAGGACGAGGGCAACCAGACTCTTATCAAATACAACCAAGAGGGAGGCGGCTCTGCATGCAAGGTGGGTTGTGTGCAAATTGCAAATTAGAATGAGTAAGGCGGTTATAAAATTTCCATGAAGCAAAATGATTTTTTTTTTTCACTGTTTTCACGCTAGGCTGAACCCACCCTGCTCCTGACGCCTACAAATGGCATATCTGTGACGGATGGCATCAAGCAGGGCACCATGCGGGTACTTTCCTTCTCAAACCATACACTGTCATTCCTCTGTTTGAAAAGGACTTTTTCACAGACACGCATTAGTTGTGGCAGCGTGAGCACATCGTGATAGTGTGTCCAAAGGCAAGAATGTAAAAGACATCGGTAGAGAAACCGAATAAGTTGCATAGAAAAAAATGATCACTGTTTTAGTTGCATGCATTTTATAATCCTGCTAAAATAATAATTATAGCAGAATCCGTTTGTCAAGCTCTTTCGCTATCTTAATGACAGACAGGTATGTGAATCCAGGTTATGGTTAAGATTTATGTGTGAGACAAGAAAATGATGGTGTTTGCACAGGATTATGTAACCAACAGCTGTCATGTTTAACACGACAAGGAAGAACTTGTTCCTCTCTGGATGTACTTAACATTTACTGCAGTTTACTGTGAAGTTTAAGGAATTGATTAATTGTAGCTTGTGTATTGATAAATCTAACTAATTAGATGTTTTATGGTGCAGAAAGTGAGCTTGTGGGTCCATTTACCTTTAAGTGCATTCAAATGCTTTGTTAATTACTGTAGGATTCATTGTATACTTCATTAATCTCTTCTGCTCAACTAGATGACTGAGATGGCCCCAGTAATGACCCACGACGTGGACAGGTACAACACATCATACACCATGGTACGTAACGGCTATTTGAGTCAGTAAAGAGTAACACATTTATATATATTTTTACACTTGCAGGACTTGAAAATTGAAATCACACATTGCCTTTTAGTGTTTAATCACACATATAAATCTGATCAGAAAAGTTGGGCTTGTTGCCCTCTGCTACGCTCTTAAACCCTGATCTTGTCTTTTGGTGTTTTTCTTCAGCAAACGAACTCCAACATGACCTCAATGGGTTTTCAGAAAAGAGACAGTCCCAGAGGCAACGAGGGCCAGATGATGGTGAGTCGTCGCGGCCGCAGTGACAGTACTGTTGACGTATGTTTCTTGACAGCGTTGCATGTTGTGACATGGCGTCTAAAAGGTCCGCTCCCCTGGTAGGTGTGTGTGTGAATCTGCACACTGCCTGCCTACATCCACAAGAGGGTGCCTGAACCTGTCTTTTAAGAGAAGGAGGAGGTTTAGCCAAATTGTTTGTGGGTTAGCCTGTGACTACTGTTGAGACTACTTTTCGGCACAGTATCTCAGAACAGTGTGAACTTATGAGCTTTGCCAATTTGCATTTACAAATTAGCTTTTTGGAAATCCTTCAGAGAAAAGAGATTTAAAAAAAAAAAAACTATTACTAATACTGATGTCTCATGATATGCTGTTTCTACAGGTATTTTTTTAAGAAAGTGAAATGTCTAAAAATTAATTAAAATCTTTGCAGATTAAGATGAAGCAGGTTTAACAAAATATTCACATATACACACACATACATAGTCTGCAAGTATTCTTCTTAATTAAATGAGATTTTATTATGTTGCTTTGAAAGAGTATTTAGTCTACACTGACATACAGTCGCCCTCAAATGTATTCATACCCTTCCATTAAAGAAAAGGCAAAATTCTCAAAAGTCACTCAAATAACTAGAAACTGAAAAAAGTAATAATAAATAAAAATTTGCTAAATTATAATTTAGTGAATAAAGACATTGCTTTTCAATTGTGGTTGGAAAGAATCACTTAAGAAAAACAAACAAACAAAAAAACAAAACAAAAACTGTCCCGGACAAGTCAGAGCACTTTGCTGATGAGCAGTGGACCAAAGTCAAAACACCTGTCAACAGGTGCAGAAGTCTCTTATTCCTGTAATTCCTGTATTACAAGAAATCTACCACACTGTGGTCTATGACCGCAGTAAGAGAAACGAAAATCTACAAATAAATCAACTGTCAGCTCAGGTCAAGTGAGGGCACAACACTGAATTGAACTGTGTACTTTTTTTTTTTTTTTTTCGTAGAGCAAGTACTCTACCTGGACTACAAACAGGATGAACAGCTATCAGGTAAGTAATCAGTAATAAACCCAACAAGACTGTATGTTTAATGTCTTTACGCTACATTAGTGCATTAGGAGCTTAATCCTCCTCTCTATCAGCAGAGCAATTCATCACGCTACATGCGTTCTATGAGCCTGCGATCAAACCAGCGCATTGCAGATCACATCGACAGGGTAAGAGAAGCTTCTGACATCACCCTTTGGCAAAGACTCTTGACTTTATCGATGGTCGATGCCTCTGCATTAAGCAATGAAAGAAGTAGTCATGACTGGAATATTATACACTCAGACTAAACATTTTTTTTTAACTTTTCCACAGAGACTTTACATGATTGATGGAAACCCTGTGGACTACCCGGTGTACCAACCCCACAAGTACGCCTACGAAGGACAGGGCAGCAAATGCCAGTCACTGGATGAGCTGTCCATCACCAACCTGGGAGATGATTTCCAGTTTCTGGATGATTTGGGGCCAAAGTTCAAGACATTGGGAGAAATGTGTAGCAAGAAAATACAAGTGAAAAGCACACAGCTCTAAAAAGCTCTGCTGGAATGTAACTTTTGCACCAAGCAAGTCAGTCTTCATTTTAACTCTGTGACTGCGATTATGGATGGATCTATCTGGAGGTGATGCACCACCGCGGTTGGATTTTGTACTTGTACATTACAGACTTTAACGTCTCAAGCATTTAAAGCCAGATATTGTTTGCTTGCACTGATCTGTGAAGCAAGGATTACATGGCAGCAGCTGTATTTTGCTTGCTTGAAGATGGAATGAATGAATGCACTGCACACCCTGTCATGCTCTGCTGATTTTGAAATGTTGTAACGTGAAAGTGACTGGGTGTGTTTACTTGTTTCTTAGTTTGCCACATTGACAGTGGTATCTGCTAATGCGCATTATCGCTAGCTCTTTGGGTTTTTTGAGGACAGTATTATTTTAAACAGACGTTCGTGTGTGGAAACTGGGTTTTTTTTTTTTTTTCTTGTAATAAGTAAGATTTTTTTTTTCTGCCTGTCACTTTGGTGACAGCACTCTTTTGTAAAGGGTCCTTGATGAGCATCAGCAGAAATCTTAACTGGTAGAAGTAATTGTCTAATCGTGACTAAACATTGGTTTTGTTCTTGTGAACTGTAAATATCAGTGGCTTTTTTGTAAATGATCTTGTGCCACAGCAGTGTGAAACATTGCAAAGTTTATTCCCTTTTTTTTTGGTTTTCTCATGTGTTTTTGTATGCTGTCGGAAACTTCTGTTTTTTTTAGAAAACAAATTTAAATGTATTATTTGGAAAGATGTTTCCTTTGTCATTGCTAAAAGCAACCGCAATCATCGGGATGAAATATTTTAATTGGACAGGAGGGAAAGAAATGTTGATTTAATGAAATAATTACAATAAAATCATACCAAAAAAAGCTTTCGATATAACGATTGTAACCAATTTAAAGTGTTAAGAGCTCCTGTTCCGTAGATGACAATTCAGTTGAACCACGACAGTTACTACTATTAATTCATTTTACTTTTACACAATACAAGTCCAACCTTTTGACTATGACACAAATTTCTTTAGAAGTGGCAGCGCTAACATTGTCTCATGAGAAGGGTAGAGATTAAGCTGAATTTTCTGTTTTCTCACTGCACCCTCATTCCCATGAAAACCCCGCCTCACACTGCGTGGGTTCCTTGAAGCCAATATCTGAACAACAGTTCAAAAATTGATGACAGCTTTTCTCTACCATAACCAAAACAACCTCCAGCCTATGAAAATTTGGCATCTACTATGTTTCTGTAGTTTCAACTTGTGCTCACTCAGTAAGTTTGGAAGTTTTTGTGTGTCCATCAGTCTGTCAGCAGAAGCGGCTGAACTTGTTTGAATAATACCCATCAGAGAGGCCAGGTGTAGCTGAGGTGTGGCATGGAAACTGATATGGAAGTCTGAAACTCAGAGCTAGACTGACAAACATGCATGACTCAGACACAAACTCAGCATGCATCGAATATCTTTCAAACCTTCCTGATCCACAAGCGAAAATACTTTTCGCAGCAGGGCAACGTGAAACACAAATGAAAACACGAGACCGTTGAGAAGACTAAATGTGCCAGTTTTTCAGGCTACAGCAGGAAATATGCAGATAGCATCACAAATAACGACTATTCAGAATCAAAAAACAAAAGAAAAGAAAAACACAACAAGGTAACCCATAGCTTACTGTTATAAAACAAAACAAGTTGTGTTGAAATAACGGCCTAAAAGCTAGTTTTGGTGCGATTTGACTACTTTTCAATGCTTTAAAATGTAAAAAGTGAGAAGTCATCAGGCCACACAATTCTGTTAGCTCTGCATGTGCAAGTTAACAGGCACAAGAAAGTAATTCAGTTTGAAACAACAAAGTTCAATGTTTAAAATGTCAGCTATGGGAAAAGAAAGTCCTTGTTATTATGGATTGGTTCTACTATGATGTTGGGTTTTTCTTTGTTTTTTTTGTATAATCACTGATCTCTGAACCCAGTGTGCAATTCAAATACCAAAAAAAAGCAAGAGTGCTGTCTGAATCCCGAAGTAAGCTTCCAGTTTCACTAACTTGGCGGCTTGCCTTTAATTGCCATACAGGTTTTCCGTTCTCTCACACAGGGTGTTGTCTAGTTACAGTCGTTATCTTTATTCCTGAGAAGTGATTTCATCAGGGCTGCTGGCAAACAGGTTCAATGTCATCTTGCTTCCATGCAAAACATCCCACACTGTTAAAACAGCTGGGACATGCCCGGCCATGTAAAAATAAGAAAAAAACTAAAATAAAAAAGGGTAAAAGGTAGAAATTGTTGGCTTGTTTCAGACACATTTGAAAAAGCTGAACATTTGAACCAGTGCCTACAGACAGAGGTGTTGACTTGAAGTTATTTTTACGAGATACTCTGATTGTCTTATAAAGGAACTGTTGTGCCAAATATTAAACTGTGAAAAATTGTGCCCATTTCATTGCATATCTTACTTTTCACAACAACAGTCAATAAAACAACTGTGGTTACAAGTTGAGGTCGACCACTTAACTAATTTTGGACTATTAACTGGTGCAGATGTGGGTTCTTGCCAACTAGCAGTAGTTTTGGCTCCAGCGGTGGCCGGTAGCTGCACAGACATGTTTTGTGTGGAAGTTGTACCTGAGATCATTTTAAATTAAAATTAAATTAAATGAAAGATCACTTCATAGAAAACAGATTTATTCATACATTAAAATAATGAAAAGGTTGTTGGTTATAGAATATTCTGCTTAAAGCCTGTATTGTTTTTTTGTTTGTTTTTTTTTAATAAGATGATACTGATGATACTGTCTGGATGCAGCATTATTAATTTGGGGGCTGCAAGGTGGCTTAGTGGTTGGCACTGTTGCCTCGCAGCAAGAAGGTCGCTGGTTCGCGTCCCGGTGAGGACACCCGGGATCTTTCTGCGTGGAGTTTGTATGTTCTCGCCATGCAGTGTGGGTTCTCTCCGGGTTCTCCGGCTTCCTCCCACACAGTCCAAAACATGTTGAGGTTAATTGGTGATTCTAAATTGTCTGTAGGTGTGAATGTGAGTGTGCTTGGTTGTCTGTCTCTAAGTGTAGCCCAGTGATAGACTGGTGACCTGTCCAGGGTGTCCCCTGCCTTCACCCTAAGTCACATGGGATAGACTCCAGCCCCCCATGACCCCAGTGAGGATTAAGCGGTGTACAGATAATGGATGGATTATTAATTTGTTCATTTCCAACATGCAATTTTTTTTCTTGTGTTTGTGTGTGTGGTGTGTTATTTGCCAGTGAATCAGTAGTTGTTCTTATCCTGCTTCAAAGTCCAATTAATATATCAGCCTTTAAAAGTCCACCATAAGTCAACCTCTGGTAAAAAAATTTTTTTTAAAACTATTGATGAAATGCCCTCCTGCACACAAAATACATAGGATGAAATAAGTCCAAAAATAAACATTCGACAACATTAAAACGCTATACATGTTTTAAAAGTGCAGATATGCAGTCGTCAGGTTTCACAATTATGTTGGATCTGTTTATGCAGGTAGACTGATCACTAATTGTGCAACAGGAACACAACAGCAATGGAAAACTAACACACACATTTGTGCCTCCAGCATGAAAGTCATTCTAAGCCTGCTGTGAGTCAGTCATAAAAACAACAAAGTTTGAGTTCAATTTTCATAAATGCAGCTAAGGGAGAAGAAATGGCCTTGTTGGTTTTGTACTAGACAGATAATAGAAAGCTAATTATGTATATTGTTTCACAAAATATCATCTAGGACTCTAGTATTTATTTACCAATGCACACTAAAACACTTTCTCCTTCCCCCACAGCAAGTCTGACACTCCTCAGACTGGACTGTACTCCTTGTTGCGATGCACGGGTTTCCCTCGCAGGGTGTTGTCTTGCCGTCACACATTTTCTTAAGAAGTGATTTCATCTTGGTTGCTGGTAAAAGGTGAAGCAACTGATCCCTATTGCAAAATATCATACATTACTAAGAATGATGCGGTCTGGAACATACACATTCAGTATGTGTATTCAAGTATGAGGGAAGTGGCTCATTCACACAGAAATTGCTGACCACTCTTCTATGCAAAAGTCCTTCAGTTGCAATATGTCTCAGTTTTCTTGCATGTGCTGCTCGTTTCAAACCCGCAATATTTCAGTAGAACCTAAATACGGACATTTCTTTGTAGATTTTGCGAGTGTGCTTAGGATCCAGTTCAATATGAAATGCCTCTCTTTCTGATCTTTGCACTTTGACACCAGTAGTCGAAGGAGTTACCCGCAGATCCTGTGTTGAACATTTATTTATTTTTAACATTTTTCTTTATGCATCAGACGGTCTGCTCTTCGGCCAAATTTGCTGGGGGATGCCAATCCTGAACAAACTGGCACTCATTTGAAATCTTTACCGCTGATTTTCCTTACAATGGGACAATTTATTTAAATATAATTTAGAGATCTTTTTAAATCCTTTTAAGAGTTAAAGGCTTCTATGATTCTTTTAATTGTTATTATTTTCCGAAGGAGTTGGGGAGCTTATCTTGTCATGATAACGCCATGTACGTCAATGGCACAAAGAACACCAGACCCTGGATGTCAAGAGGTTGAAGTTGTAACCACTGACGCCTAGACGGGAACCTCTGATTCTAATTTTAATGGATTGTGATAGTTGTGATAGATACATATTTTTACCATGTGAATTATGTTATAGTTCACACAACAAAATGTGAATTTTATTGGTCATTGTTTTAGTGTATTACCTCAACTAACAGGCACTGTTTCAGAGGATCAAATGCTTGCTTGTCCAAAAATATCAGTTTTTGTTGTGTCCTGTTCCTACTTTTTTTTTAAAAACAAAAAAACTAACAATCCCCCTCCCTCAAAAAACAACACAGCATTATTAAAACATGACTCATTAGCATTCTCCTTTGGGTCCATCTGTTAAAGAACTATGTTGGATTAGATTGTGCTAATTCTAATCCTTCAGGGGGACCATAGAGCCTTTCTATCAAAAACACCTTAATCAGACGAGAGAGACCAGCTGAAAATATTACATCATGTAATAAAGACACAACTGAGCAGAAAAGTGCTTAAGAATAAGAGAATTAAAGTTACTCAAAGCCTACTGCCCAGTGAACATCCAAGAACTGAAGCATGATTCAGCTCTTTAATATAAAAGACGTATTGTTGTTGTAATAGTCTGTGCTGCTATTTGTAGTTTTTTGCACATTATATAATCTTGACACAATGTTTAAGAGATTTTCCATTTGTCTTATACAGAGAGTGTTGTGTCAAGCTGTCCTAAACTGTACAAAAAGATACACGTCTGCATTCCTTACTTTTACCGATTAAGCTTGTGTGGCGTAAAAAGGCAAAACCCAAAAAAAATAAGCAAGCAAGCAAGCAAACAAGAGGAAAGAAAGAAAGAAAGAAAGAAAGAAAGAAAGAAAGAAAGAAAGAAAGAGTTAATTTTGCGAGTCATAATTCTGTCAGATATCATCAACTGGGCTGGACTACAAGAGCAACAGGAAATAAAAGTAGGTTCAAGTTTTTTTTTTGCCAAAGTAAAAAACTAAATTACATATTGTCAAGGTAATAATTATCCCAAGCACACAGACATGCAAACACATGCGTGTTTCCACTCAACTCACTGACTTACACTGAATATTTGTATAACTCTGACCTTTACAGCAACCTAATCCTAACCTTATCATAAGCTTAAACAAAGTCTTCATTCGAAAAAAAAAATCAGATTTATCTTATGGGGATTTAACTCAACAGTAGGATACTTGTCCACTATGCGACTGTATGAAATGATGCATGTCTCCACAAAATGAGTGCACAACGTAGTCTGCCTTGTCCAAACTGGGACTGAACCTGTTAGGTGCTACGTCTGCCGTATGTTAAGGCTGGTTGTTATGCATTTGTACTGTGTACATCGTATACTTTGCATGCTCATTTAAATAATAATTTTATAATTCTTTTTTCATATAATATCAAATCAAACAATTTGAAGCTCCACTTGTATTGTGATGTGGCTGTTTTTAAAGTACTTTTGTCAACCTAGAAAACATTTCTCATCTATTTTATCCACTTTGACTGTGTACATCTTGTTTTACTTGTGCTTCCATTGACATGGAACATGTAATCACACTTTGTAATCACATTTAAAACGGAGCTTCAAAGACATAATAATCAAAGCTGTGTCACTACAGACAGTAACGTATTCTGATTATATTCCTGGGAACACACACGTAGACGTAGCACTTTGTGCACGCCCACTTTTGATAAAGTTCCCTAACTGCTTGGCTGAAACTTGTGACATCAATTGTTTTAACACAGCCCTCCCTCTCACAGGTACCTGGATACAAAGCTCGCATTGACATGCAGCTGAGCTTGCAGTGAAAGAAGAGTCTGTGAGGAACTGACTTCTAAAACAACACATCACTGGATACACCATGGAGTCAAAACCCTTCTGTCTTCTAGTCATGCTGGTAAGATTTTGTCTTAGATAGCAGACCTGCTGGTATTTAAATCATTACTTATCTTTGCTCTCTGCTGCGTCAGACTGACTTGTTTTTAAAATCAAATTTTATTCTAAAGACGAAAACGATATGAATAAGAATAGAATGATTTACCACTTTACCCTGTATAATACAGTTTAAGACCTTACAGAACCCTGAGACTTACGTGACCTTTATTTTTGTCAGCATTCAAAAGTAGGTACAACAATTAAGGCAATTTGGAGACTACAAATGAAATCATAAATCACTCATCTCATTAGTGTTGTGGAATTCTTGAAGAGGTTGACGGAGGATGTGGAACCCGACACAGAGAGACACACCGGAGACTCGGACGACTTAGGTTGAAATAAGGTTTACTGATATCAGAAGTGATACGCATGCAGTCCCAGCATCAGTTCTGAGGATTCTCTCGCACCTTCGGTCTTACACCATCCTTCAGTCGGAACCATCTCTAGGTTTAGGGATGAGAGGAAAACAATAGATAGTCTGGCGCCTTGGTGCAATCTGGCCCTGAGAGGCACACAGGGTGTCTTGGGAGTAATAGGGTAAAAGTTCAGTATCACCTCCAGAGGCCTAACTTCTGAGGGGAAAGTCATTTTTCCTTCACAGTTAGCAAATTCTACACCAAGTGATGTTCAGTGTATTAAAAAAAAAAAAAACCTTTTTGGAAATAACAGCCATACAGTACATCCCATATGTACTAATCCAAAGAAATGTGATGTTTTGCAGTGTCTCGGAGTCTGCGTGTCATCTTCAGAAATTTTGCAGCGACAAAAGAGAAACTGGATCATAGACTCCTTTATAATTGATGAGGGCTATAAAGGACCTTTCCCATATTCACTGGGCACTGTGAGTATCTACAGCGAACCGCAACGCGATGATATAAAAAGTGCATGTGATGAGACGCAGGAAGAACGTTACAGATCATTATCATTTGCCGTTGTTGTGTTTTGTGTTCACTGCAGATTGAGATTGAGAAAAAAATCTGGTTATTCAAGATACACGGACAAGGTGTTGATGAAGAACCCCGGAATGTATTAAAAATTGACGATGAATCAGGAGAGATTACTGTCCTTGGCCCTGTGGACTATGAGAAATACAAAGTGTTAAAGGTCAGCAAGAATTTACCAAACATGTCACAGTAATCATTCGGAAAGCATAAATGGTGTGTGTTTGGTAGCGTGGTGGAGGGGGTTGCATTATTTCACAGGTCTCGCCTTTGCACTACAGCTGACGTTTCAGGCGTTGGCTGGCGAAAATGTAATCGACACACAGCTGGGCATTGAGGTAAAGATTAAGGACGCAAACGACAACCCTCCACAGTTTGAGCAGACAGAGTACAAGGTCACCATCAAAGAATCAACAAAACAAGGTAACGTCTTCATTTTCAACAATTTCCTGATGTGATCATCACTGCTACTATTTTAAAATTATCCTTTGTCACAATGAACAAGAATGAAATAAAACAAACAAGTCCTTTCTTCTGACACCCCGACAGGCCACAACGTGATTACCGTTAAAGCAACAGATGCAGACAGCACTGAGGAATATAAAAGCGTGTCATATCAAATAGTCTCAGTCTTTCCTGAACCTCACGACCTGCAATTCTACCTAATCGAGAAGTCTGACACTCAAACTGGAATGATTTCATTTAATGGATGTCTGGATCATGAGGTCAGAGGACTAACTGATTGATGGTGTCAATTAAAAATAAAAAATGTAATCTTTGAACTTTCTTAAATTTGATTAATGTGCATTTGATGTTTAATTTACAGTTAACCTGAGCTGTGTTTTTAACTCTTCAGAGAGCAGAGAAATACAAAATTATTGTGATGGCCAAAGACAACGGAAAGCCAGAACGGCTCTCCAGCTCCTGCACCATCATAGTCAACATAGAAGACGGAAACAACCACATACCCGTGATCACAAAACAGACGGTGAGCAATTATGTGTTTTGGTTACCTCGAGCGCGGCAACGGCCGCTGCTGCCTAAAATACAACAGTTTCAAAAAAACAAACAAAAAAAATTTGTTTTCAACTTAGAATCTAGGAAGTGTGAAAGAAGGAATGGAAAACTTTCTTGTTTCACGTCTGCAAGTCAAAGACGACGACACCAGAGGTACAGCGGCGTGGAGAGCAAAATACCACATCAAAGGAGACGCAGCAAACAACTTCAGAATCACTACCGAAGAGACGACAAACGACGGGCTACTGTATGTGGACAAGGTATTTTTGTGTGTGTGTGTGTGTGTGCGATCACGTCTATTTAAATTACTCAGGTAAATTCATGTAAATAACACAGTGGGGTCTTGGCCTCCATATTTGTTTGGTTGGTTGTCCTACATCTGTTAAATGTGCTCTATAAATACAGTTGACCTGACTTGGCATTACACTAAACTGATCTCTACAAGCTAATTTGTATACACCACAAGATGTTTCGTATCTTCAAAAGCAATTACGGAAAAACTGAGCCACATGCCTTTGACCACAATTCACAGTCATCTTGAATTCCTGAAATGACTGTTGCATATAGGTGGTTGATGCATTGATGGTGGTTATGCAGTTTTATTTATCTACTGTTAATCCTGCTTGTCCGGTGGTTTTAAAAAATTCAAAATGTCTGATCCGCAACAACTATGTTCCATTACTCAACCTCAACTCTTAATAAATCCTTCAAGATAAGATGTTAAATTGTGGCAACGTGTTATTGCTTTTACAGCCGCTGAGCTTTGAAGATGGTCCTTTGAGGAACATCACGATCAGTGTGGAGAATGAGATCCCCTATTCTTTATGCAAAGTGGTGGACCGCAGTTCCTGGAAAGTAGAAACTTTTAGTAGTGCCACATCTGTTGCATCTGCGACTGGCTCAATGCAGATGCAAGGAGCATCCAGCAAAGTGGTGACTGTGACCGTAGAGGACGTCAATGAGGCTCCGGTCTTCGACGAATCTAACAAAATCGCTATGGTGATTGAGAATGGTGAGTCGGGACAATATCTGGAGACATTTACAGCCAGAGACCCTGACGTCGCCAGTGCAAACACATTTAAGTAAGTCATAAGGATACTTCTACATGCCAGTCTTACAAGATTGTGAAGTGTTCTACATTTGTATGTCAATAGAGAAATTGAAAATGTCTGACACAACACGTGTGTTGCAGATATGTCAAAGGGGAGGATCCAGCTGATTGGATTTCAGTGGATCCAGAGACTGGAAAAGTGACCACAACAAAGAGCATAGACCGAGAGTCACCCCACGTTAAAGACGGTGTCTATGTAGTCACAATACATGCTGTTGACGATGGTATGATCTGGAGGAGTGTATGCATTCTGTTCATCATATACGCTTCGTCACATTATTCAAAAGACACAATGTTTGCTTTTGGTCACCAGGGAATCCTGCAATGACAAGCACCGCAACTCTCAGCGTGCAGGTTGGCGATCAGAATGACAATCTTCCATCACTAGCTGAAAGCACATTGGACATCTGCCAGTCTGAAAAACCCTCTCAGGGCAACATCACAGTGTTGGACTTGGATGGGGAACCCTACGGTGGACCTTTCACGTTCAAGCTCCAAGGAGATGTTGAGGGCAAGTGGAAAGTTGAGCCCGCGCAAGGTGAAGTCTAGTTTCACAACTCCTTCGGGGTCCAAAAGTAGCCAAGATCGCATCGCATACGTCTCGTTTTAATCAGTATTTCACAATGACATTTTACAAAATAACTGATTGTGTATTCATTTCGGACGTGCAGGGTTTTCAGTGAACCTGGTGAAAGACAACACAGTTCACTCTGGTGTCTACGAGCTGCCCCTCGAAGTGACTGACCTTCAGGGGGAGACGTCTGTCCACAGCCTGACAGTTACCGTGTGCAACTGCGTCGATGAAACAAGGCCGAACTGTCGTCTGCGAAAAGCTTCTAGCGCCACAGCAGGAACTTTGGCGCTGGGGACCGCTTTTCTCAGCATGCTAGTCTTAGCAGGTGGGTCACATGTTCAGAACACTTATTCTGTTTGATGTGTATCAAGAAAATTTAAAGATTGAACAGTTTTCCCCATTAAATAGTTACACTGAAGTATAAAGTAACTCCTCAGGCAACCCCATTAGGGACATAACACTGTACGTATTTGTGTGTGTGGACTTTACACTTTAGGTTTGCTACTTATGGTATTTCTGATGACTTGTAAGAGAGAGAAAGTACCGTTACCACCTGATGGCTGTGAACAACATCTGATGATCCAAAACACTGAGGAACCAGGAACTGACTGCAGAGTAAATACCTTTGTTATCAAATAACTTGCACTTGCTTATTAGTGTAAGCCAATACAAACACATATGCACGCTGACACACATTTTGGCTGTTGCTTGTCATTTTAAAGTATGCAATTAAACGTGAACGTGCCTATTAAATTAAGAGGCATTTATCCTACAACAGGATTCATTTATAAAATAATGTAAATATAACTGATGACAGTCACTGTGGAAAAACATAAAACTGTGTTCACATGTTCAAGGTGAATTTTGAGTCATCAAAAGGCGGTCAGAATGGGGGACAGAGCCAAACTGTGAAAAAATCTCAAGTGAGAACTTCAACGATGAACCCAGTAAGTAGTGTCATGTAATATGCATTAATGTTATAACAACCTCTCTCTCACCCTCATCTCTTATGAATCATTACAAATATGGATTTTTTTCCCCCCTCACAGGTATTTTTAGGCGGTCAAAACTTGCAGACAATCACTCAGCAAACAACAGTGTCAGGGAGTCAGTCAGCGGAGTACGGCATGTCCCAAACTGACATCCGAAAGCAAGACCAACGGCATAATTTGCAATGGGTAATATTATTATTTGTTATTATCACGACCTGCTATTATACTTTATATTATAGAATCAGGTGATATTTTGGGTGTTTGTATTGTCAAGAAATCTCATAAAAGGACAAAAAACTAAAATAGATTATTGCTATTTATTGTCTGTGTGGGCAAAAAAAAAAAAAAAGAAAGAAAATAAAACTCAAGTATTCTATTTTTATGCTTTTGAACTCCAATTAAGATTTATTTGTTCTTAGCACACCAAACCCAAACTGAAAATCTTTCCCAAAATATACTAGTTAATGTATTCCTGTTTAAGCAATTGCTGCTTAAAAGTAGAGTCCCCCAGATGCCTTAGGATATTGTTTAGCCTTTTACAATAACTTCACAAATAGATTTAAATTAAAACATTGCTTTATTTTCATCTCTTTTCAGAACAAATGACGTTGGGGTTTAAAGTCAAAGAGAACCCCACTTTTAATTTTGTTCTTTTCATAAGATTTTTTGACAAAATTGCTCGCCTTGTTCTTTTCTGAAATTCTATTCAAATTATTTTAACAATAAAGTGCTTTTATGGTTTTTTTCTTTCTTTTTTTTTAGATGGTGAGTGACTCCGCAAGTGAAGGACTACAAGCTCAGACAGAATACTTAAAATGCCAAAGACAAAATTCAATGGAAGCGGCTTTTCTTCGAGGGAACTATAAATACAGGGTACTGAAATTATTATTATTATTATTATTATTATTATTATTATTATTATTATTATTATTATTATTATTATTGTTATTGTTATTATTACTGGGTCATCCTGAGGCCCTTCATATTCTATTCTAACTATTTAAATGCTTGACTTTGCAGTCAATGGGCGCATCATCAGCCATGGGAATGAGACAGCAGAGACAATCTATGCATGAGGTACTGCAATCTACTCTATAAGCTGTTTTCTTTTTAAATTTCTACAGCTGATCATTTTTTATTTCCACAAACTTCAACAGTGAACTCTTACATGTAACACCTTTTGTTATTAGACTTCTATTGCTCTTGTTAGGTATGTTTTAGAAGCTAGAAAATCTGAACAACTATGTACTTTTGATTTTCAAGAGCTTTTGTGTGTGTGTGTTTTGTCCTAGTCGGTGACTGACTCAGTAGGTGAAGGAATGCAAATCTACTCGGGATGCGCACAAGCCCAAGGAAAGAGCTCTTTTTCTCGAGGAAACTTTAAATACGCGGTACTGATATGATTATTATTATTATTGAGCAATCCTGTCACATTTAAGGCTGCTCTTTAAATTCTATTCAAACAATTTAAATGTTTGATTTTCCAGTCAATGGGTGCATCATCAGCCATGGGAATGAGACAGTGGAGAAGATCCATGCATGAGGTACTGCAATCTTACTCTATGAGCTGCTTTCTCGTACGCGTGACATCTGTTGTTATTAGACTTCTGTTGCTGTTGTTGAAAATTCATGCAACTATCTATTTTTAATTTTCAAAGAGTTGGGAGGAATATAACCCACAAACCGCAGGAATCCTGCTAAATAAGGTAATGACAGAATTTTACTCAATCCTGAAACACTAGGGGAGTTCTGCGCTTTTCTTTTTTTTTTTTTTAATGTACTGTCTTTCTTTATTTGCTCCTCGTTAATGTTGTAGCACCTGTACGCTCTCGAGACACCAGGCGAGGAACTGGGTGACTATGCACCCCAAGTGTACGCCGAGGAGGGAGATGAAGAACACGACTTTGAGCTTGATGCCATCTCCATACCTGATGTGCCCTTCGACCTCAACTTGAAACTGGATTACAGGTTCAGTGACCTGGCCTCAGTCTGCATGCCTGGTGACACCACTGCCCACAGCACAAAATCAGAGATGACAACTGTGATCCAGAAGCAAAAAGTCGTAAAATTGATTAACACATCATCCTATTTGTAAATGCTGCAATATTGTATATATTTTTTAATCAAGTCACCAAACCAAGGATAAATGTCACCTTTAGCGTCTTCCTACTCACTCACAACAGGTTGTATCACCTTTGTAGCAGAAAGACACACTCTATGTCTGAAAAATAGCAAAAGTAGACACAACATGGCACCATTGTTCAAAGTTACTTTTATTTTATTTTTAAAAGTCTTTATTTTAGGATTTCCCAGTGTTTCTCTGCTATTAAAAAGGACAGTTACAGAGTAGTCGAGGGACAAATGAATAAAAGGGAGGATCCAACATGGATGTTGCAGTACGCACCAGTTATCCTATATAGCGGAATTTTTGACACCTAACAAAGAGAGTTCAGCCAGCTCAAAAGAAAAATCACAGACAAAACTGTCAATTGGGGTTTTGTTTACTCAAGCATAATAGATATATTTTTGTTTATCGAATGCTCAGAAATGCACAGATTTCTGTTAAAAAAGGGCAACACAGACTCACTGCTTTTCCTGCTCGTGGATCGATCAAGCTTACTGCCGTGCGTAGTCACCACCTTCTCAGCCAGGAAAAACCAGACACTCAAGGGATTGGCCAGCAGCAGGACTCCCTTTGTTGACTTAGACTACTCTGGATATCCAGAGGGCACATTTACACTTTCTATTCTCATTTAAACAGTGCTGATGACGGACACTAAATGAGCCAAAACACTGGCTCGTTAGGAATGGACTTCAAGGAACAGTTTGTTTTTTTAACACATACAAAGAAAAAAATGTAGCAAATGGAAGTGCTAGATAAAAAAACAAACACTGCACTTTTTGATGATCACCGTGAGTTCAGAAAGAGGCACCAGGATTATCATAGTGTCCTAAGGATTATGTCTTTCTCTAGAGGACAAAAGAGTTTTCAACCCTGTAACACCAAGTATATCATATTTGATACATGATTTTTTTTGAGACCTCTACATCATCAGTGTAAATATGACAATTGATTAAAAAACAAAGTTCACACAGAAATATACAGACATGAAAGCTGATTGAAACAGCACTGATAAATGACATTATGTGGACCATAATGCAGAAATGGTGACCTACTATCATTTACAACGGTTACTAAATATATCTTCAAATATGTTTAGTTTGTTTTACCTTTGATTTAGCACAAAAGACATGTGTCACATAATCCTCCCATAATCCTCACTAAGCCATATGTCTGTTTAATTATTTTGGGGACTCATTGCACTATGAAACAGACAATAGATTTAATTGCTACATAGAAATCATGATGAATGACGTGAACATCAAGAATGCACTCTATTTAATGAGGCCAGGTCTTTTTCTGCACGTTTGGTCTTAATGCAAATATTAATAGGATAAAATAGAAGTCACACAGAACTACAGTTATGTAGTCGGGGGTGTGGAGATATGGTTTGGTGACACAGAATCTCAAATCACAGCATTTACACGACTTGACTTGAAGCAGCAAAGTGTTATTTTGTTTTTTACTGTTATGTGTCGTTTATCAAAACCAGAGGCTACATTAACCATTGATATGATTGCCTACAGTAGCAATTGTTTTTTATATTCTGATGTCTTAGGGTTCATTTCAGGATCAGTGTTTTTTATTCATGCTTTGTTTTAGCTTTTGCAAACGGGTCCTTTATCTACTCCGCTCTCTTAGAATTAGGAGAGTCTTGAGGAACTCTGGGGATCCTAAAGGAACCCTGCTTGCTTGGGGAGTTCCTTGGAAAAAGAAAAAGTTTCTGGTGGAACTTTGAATAAGTCAGAACAGGTTTCTGACACTTTACAGCTGCGTTTATGCTTACTTTTATTTATTTGAATCTATTTCTATTTAGGGGTAATGATACTTTTCACAATAACCCCACAAGGTTCTCTTTGAGGCTCTTCTACGTTTAAAACTGACCCCATTATAAGCTGTAAAACTTTTCTCAAAACTTAAAAAAAAATGTTTACAAAAACACACCAAGCTGAACTGCTTTTTCTACAAGAACATTAAAAATGTAAGAAAAAATACATTTTGTGCACATTTGTTTTGAAGCTTGTTATATTTGGTATTGGTTGTGGTTATTGGTTGAAGTGATCTTTTGTTTGTTTGGTTGTTTTTTTGTTGTTGCTGTGACTATAGATGTGGTTGTTTTGGACTTGAAATTAAAGTACACACATTGAAAGGTCGACGTTGTCCGGGTGCTGTTGAGTAATCATGACACAAAACAGATTTAGTAGAGTAATAGCAGACGCTAACCTACTCTAGCATTAAACAAATATGCAGGTGTGTCTTGTGTAAATAAAGAGCTCAAAGGAACACATGATGATAATTCCATGGTGTTTCTAGTCAGCTTTTAAAAGCTTGCCAAACCAGCTTTTGTGTTGGCTGTTTGGACTGTAGCTTAATGAAAGACGTGTGACTGTGCGTGTGTGCATTTGTGTGTGTGTGTGTGTGTGTGTGTTTGTTCAAGCTCGTGCATGCGTGAATTTGCATATAGGCACATATCAATGTATCATGTAAAAATATCTTTATTTACATCGAATCTCACACACACACGTTTACCTGTGTCTGATGCCACTGACTACTTTAACACTAGACCTCTCTAACAAGTATTTTCATACAAAAGTGTCTCACAATTACCACCTTTATCAATCTGTAAAACACTCACTCCTTGTGGTTACACAAAAAATGACTTGTGTCCATGACTATTGTCTAATAAACCATGACACCTGTACAGTAAAAATATTTTGAAGCCCCTCCTCAGGAACTGTAAAGTTGAAGGATGCATCAAAATTCATTTCAAAATTAGACTCACCAAATGTCCAACACCGTCCTGAGTGTTCACCTCGTACTAAAATTAATTCATTTATTGGAGGAACCACCTATCAAAATAAACGACGGCTCCAATTCAAATGCCATTCTTATCGGCTTTATCTCTGCACATAGTTTTTGCTCTTAAATTTAGGTTTCGGTTTTGTAAGAGGGTGAAGAGTGAAAACCTTGGACTTGCAGTGAATGAAGTTTAAGAAAGCAAAAGTATGTTTATGATAAATTATGTGACAAATGGACCGTCCTGTGGCAGCAACATGGAATTCTGTCTGTCAGAAAGTGTAACTCCCCCTTGCTGGGCCTGTAATAACTTGATTTTGCCCCCAAATTTGCCAGTAGTTGATTTTGCTCCAAATTTGCACACTGTACCTTGCAGCTCCACGATGCAGCTGCTTACTTGGGTACATAGCCAGCATGAAGGAACCAGTGGGACACAAACAGGACACTGGGTGAGTGCTGCTTTCCACCTGAAAGTCTTATGCAAGATGATCCAAAACCATGTCTGAAAAAGCAAGGATGAAAAACAACAATGAAAAAGGAAAAACAACAAAGTAAAAGTTAGGCGCGGCTCATTTAAACCACACATGATGATGGCATTAAAGTGATTGACACCATCAGAACCATCCTACCATGTCATGCGTGAGATCAGAGGCTGTGCCGACAGGCAGGTGAGGGTGTTCAAAGATGCCTAACTGGGGTGAAGTCATGACAGCGCTGGAGGCAGCGTTGGAGATGGAAAAACAAGTATCAACTGAACAATGGATGAAACTGACTGTAAAGCTGAGCCAGTTACAACAACCAAAAAGGACTTTCAGAGTCCATGCAGTCAGCTACTGCTGCTTTAATTCACCAACACAGATAGCGTTCTCTCACCTAGAACGTTCCTCTCCTTTAAGAGTCTGTTTATATATCTGTTATACTCTCCTAAGTATTTGTAGTTTCTGACCTTGGAGTCTCTTCTTGATAAAGATCTACCTGTCTCGTAGTCCAAACAACTATGTGACATATGTTATTACTGGAAAGAGGCAAGTGTTTGTCTGTGACTGATAAAAAAACAAAACAAAAACAGAAGAACAGTGTCTGTTCCAGGGATCAATATGTGGAACTTCTAAGTAATACATCTCAAGTTCAAACAGTTTGAAGAGGAATCCTTCCTGTAGTTATGATCAAATAGGTTTTGAGCCGTTGCTTGTATTTGTGTGGCCACTGTACCAGACCTCAGCTATAAATGTTGTGATGTATGACTCAGGTCATTGCGGACGTGTACAGAAAACTTGTGAGTGAGGAGTTTGTTTTGGTGTTTTTCTGCCCCCTACCTGCAGGATTATGCAGCTATAAATACCACAGCAATACACTTCATACACTTTTATACAGTACGTACATACGCTTAGTACAAATAAGTATGTAAACATCACTGCCATATCAGACTTTCAAACGTTTTTCCCAAATGATGATGTTAATGAAAATAATCTCCCAGGATTTCAGTCCCATTTCTCTCTCTGCTTATCCTTTAACTTCCATCAGTCATGCAAAGTCCATAAAGAGAATATATTAAACAGCTGCATCAATCACAACATCAAGCCCGAAAGGAGGAGGGTGATGTAGGCTGTGCTTTAAAAGGTCTCTATAGTATAGACCACCATCAAAACGAAAATTATTTTTGCCATAAGTAGCACTTGTTGAGACAAGAATGATGTATAAATACATCACACAAGCAGCATTTTCACCATTAAGGACATCAATTAAAGAGCCCCAATTGTTAAAACAAATAAATGTCTTACTGTGTTTTGTGTTTTTTATAAACTCAGAGGTGTAAAATAAAACCTTTTAAGATAAACAGACACTCTCTTTTGTCATTCGTCAATCCACCCCCACAAATAGTTCGCTTCAAAGCTTTACAAACCAGTAAGAATTTGACTCAGGTGTTATGTAACCAGCCAGACAGCTTGTTCTTCCTGAAGGGGGCAGGAATAGCAGCAGCTCATTGGCTGTCAAAGCAAAACAGCACATTTAAAACAGCCCTAAAACCACAAGTCATACATTCATGGTGAAATGAACCATCAATGCCGTATGTGGAGTTTTAAAAACTATAATGACACACTGTAGGAGACGTGTGACATCTGGATTAATTTGCTAAAAAGGTGTACAATATGTGACCTTTCACGGCTCCTGGCAAGAGTATCATCAGCCGTTTCATCCTCAAGTACAACACAGCACCTGAAATAACATTAAATGTGTTCAACTCACTACAGTTTCTCCAGTAAGTAGGAGTTACTGCCTGAGCAGAAACACAGACAACGATTGAATAAGCGACATCACAAGACGCCCTCTGAGGCCTTTATTTAGGCTCCACACAGCTACTTAGCTAGAGTTACTTAACTACCACAAAGGTTCAATTAAAAATGTAATTTTGTGCACGAATTATGTGCAATGCATGCCCTCTGCTGGTAAATTCAAGGATTGTATTTATTCTTCCAATCTTGTTTAATTACTGTCTATCTTATATTTATATGCTCTGTCACTGTTCTCCTCCAGAGATGACAGGAGTATCCTTGGTATCTTTACTTGCAAAGATAAACTTCTGCAGACTGAACAGCCTGATCTTTGACTGTATTTTGTTCAACCTAAAATTAAAAAGTGTATCTCTTAACATGAAATATATGTCAAAATCTGGACAAGTTGTGCATCATAAAGCTGTTATAAGCAATGATAAACGCTTCAAGAAATCCAGTGCATTAAGCGAAAATCATTAATAAAAAAAAAAAACTAAAATGTTTTGTTTATACATTTATTAAGCAATTTAAACACATTCTATATCGACCCGTATAAATATATATCATCAACATATCTGACATATTTTTTCCTACCACCTGATGGGTTTGTCTGTCCCGCTACCATGTCCTTGGAGGTAGCCATCGTACAACTCCCTCAGGTGGAGAATGAGCTCCTCTGTGTTGTGTCCTGTAAGAGCCGATACCGGGATGACCCTCTGGGTGACCTGGTTTTTTAGAGTTTGTAACTTCTCCTTAGCCTCAGGTAGGTCCATTTTGTTGGCTATGATAGCCTGAGGCCGCTGGGACAGACCAGGCTCATACTGGTCCAGTTCATAACGCAAGTGTTGGAGCTGCGTCCAGGGCTCTGGAGCTGAAAGGTCCAGAACAAAGAGGAGGAAACGACAACGCTCTATGTGTCGCAAGAAGGAGATGCCCAAGCCTCGATTTAGATGGGCTCCTCGAATGATACCTGGGATGTCAGCAACTGCACAGAGCAAATGTGAATGAATATCCCAAAAGCAGGAAATTATCCAGAGTGAGATCCTATAACAACATTTTTCTACTATTGAAAATTAGGAAATACTAAGAATCCTATAAAATATGGATGTTTTGCTTCACCAACCTGCAACTTGCTCGTGATCCCTGTACTTGACAATTCCTACATGTGGGTTGAGTGTTGTAAAAGGGTAAGCAGCCACAGCAGGCTTGGCATTAGAGATGGCTCTCAACAATGAGGATTTCCCAGCATTTGGAAAGCCAACCTTGTTGGAAAAAGACAATAAAAGCAGTTCAATACAGTTACAATGCTGAAAAGTCATTTTCCAGTTTTCTCATCTGAAAAGGCATCTTTCTTCTTACCAGTCCAGCATGGGCCATGGTCCGTAGCTCCAGCTGAAGGACCCGCTCCTCGCCTGGTGTTCCTGGGGTTGCCGTCATTGGGGCACGGTTCTCATTTGACAGAAAGAATCGATTCCCTTTCCCTCCAGCTCCTCCAAACACAGCCAGATACTCCTGTCCATGCTCAGCAAGGTCGACAACGATTTTACCCTGCTCCTTCACCACAGTTCCTAATGGTACCTTTAGAAATGAAAAATAAAAAAAACATCACAGGAAAGGTTTGGTCACGCTAGAAACATTGTGAAAATGTCCACAGGTTATATTCCAACAATGATCAAATGAAGGGACTCACAGAAATGTATGTTGGGCTGCCGTTCCGACCATAACAGTTCTTGCTGCTCCCTGAGTGTCCGTCCTCTCCCTTGTAAACAGGAACCACTTGCGCCAATGATTTGACAAACCGGTCAGCTGAAAGCAAATAAATGAAGACTAGAGATGAAGCACATGCTGGCAAGATAAAAAATAAAACCTGCTCTATTAGTGATTGTGCTGACAAAACAAATTCTTAATCCTGGTAACGTCTAATTGTTCAATATACTCAACAAAATCTAGCTATGTTTAAACCGGTATGGAAAGCAATCTTGCGCTTTATCATAATTACCATATCTTGTGTAAAAACAGGACGGGAAATTGTAATATATGGACGGCAAACAGGCTAGTGTCAGTACACATTCTTGTAGTCCAGCTTACCCTTGATAACGATGCTTCCTCCATCACCTCCATTCCCTCCATCTGGTCCACCCCACTCTTTTCGAGGCTCGCTGTGAAAGCTGCAGACCCCTTTGCCGCCCGAACCAGCTACCAGCTTCACACGGCGATGGTCTACGAAGTGACGGGTCTGTGGGCCACATCAACAAAAGATCACACAAGTGATGAACCCATGCTTCAAGCAACTTCGATAGTTTGCAAGTGGTCAACATTAACATTAGAGTGGATTGCTTAGAAGTAATAACCAGTCTGTTAATGTTTTGCTAATTGATACAACAAAAAAACA